CAGAGGAAAGACACAGGGAAGACACAGGGAGGAGACAGCCGCCTGCACGCCAGGAAGAGGCCTCAGGAGAAACCAGCCCTGCCCACACCTGGATCCGGGAATTTCCAGCCTCCAGGACTGTGAGGAAATGTCTGTTTTCTTAGGTCACCAGTCTGTGTTATGTTGTGGCAGAGCGAGCTGACTGCTACAGGCCTCAGTGGACCATTCGCCCGCGTCCACGCCTCTGTGGTATGTGACCATCCTGGTCAGTTCAGGCTCCTATAATACATAGACTAGATGGCTTGTACACAACAGAAATGTATTTCTCACAGTTCTAGAGACTGGAAGTCTGAGATAAGGTGTCGGCAGATTCAGTGTCTGGCCTTCCGGTTCACAGATGGCCAACTTTTCATTGTGTCCTCCCGTGGTGTGTGTGTGTGTGTGGGTGGGCGGGGGGGCAGGGCGGGGCGTTCTATAAGAACCTGAATTCCATCCATGAGGTCCCTGCCCTCAGGACCTGAGCACCCCCAAAGGCCCCACCCCTTAATATTATCACATTGGGCATTAGGTTTCAACATATGAATTTGGGCGGGACACACACGCTCAGTCCATAGCAGTGACATAGCTGTTTCTCCCATAAAGAAGTGACTGGGGTCTATTTCTCCATCCTCTTGAATCTGGGCTGGCCTTGTGAGTTGCTCTGGTCAATAAGATGCCGCAGGCATGACACTGTGGGAGTTCTGGAGTCTGCCTGTTAAGATCAACCCCACAGCTTCTGACGCTGCTCCCTTGAAAGCTGAGGCTCTGGCACTGTGAAGAAGCCCCGTCTAGTCTCCTGGAGTGTGAGAGGAAAGAGAACTGAGGCCCCCTGCCAACAGTGGCAGGCATGTAACTGAGGCTACCTCAGACCTTCCAGCCCCAACGGAATCCTCTGGTGAGTGTCATCACACAAGCGATTCCAAGAAAGACCAGGAGAACCATCCAGGTTGCTAACTCACCCCCCGGAGAGAAAAAACAATAAATCATTGTTGTTTTTGACCATTAAATCTCAGAGTGGAGTTTTATATACATAGCAACGGATAAGAAGCCAGGGCAGATGGTGATCTTTTAGTGGATTGTGAAACCAACTTGCTGGGGGGGAAAAACAGCCTAAAAAACAAGAAGACGACAGAATACATTCCCTGCTTAAGAGCTCCAATTATCTATTGCTGTGTAATAAACCTCCCCAAACATCCGTGGTGAAAAGCCCCACCATTTCATCGTGCTGACCGTTTCATGGGTCAGAGGTCTGTACAGGGCACAGCAGACATGGCCCGTCTTTGTTTCCAATGGAGCCTCAGCGGTGGTATCTCAAATGGTGGCCCACGGCTGGGGCAAGCTGACCGCGCCTGGTTCTGCCTGTTGGGTCGGCATCTCACTTCTCCCCACCACGTCTGCTGGGACTGGAAAGTGCAACGTGGCTTCTTCACTTACATGTCTGGCACCCACAGTTGAATGGCAGGAGCATTTCTGGAAGTCCCCTTTCGTGTCTTTACTTCATCCTCCATCATGACAACGCTCCATGTCACACAGCGCTTCTGGTACAGCAATTTCTGTCCAATAAAAACATTACGGTGTGTCCTCATCCACCTTATTCACCGGATCTGGCACCGTGCGACTTCTGGCTCTTCCCCAAAGTCAAAATGACCATGAAAGGTAAAGGTTTTCAGAGAGGCTTTTTTTTTTTTTTTAGATGAGCCATCCTGCCACTTGTTGGCAGCTCAGCAGCAGCTCAGCTCAGGCCAGGCATCGAACCGCTGTTGCTCAGAGCTCAAACTCTTGAGCAAGCTCTTAACCAGCTGGGCCACTCAGCCAACCCGAAAGGTAAATGTTTTAAATCAATTCAGGACATCAAGGCAGCCACGACAGCGCACCTAAAGACACTCACAAAAGGACTTCCAGAACTGCTTCAGAAAGTGGCAAGAAGGATGGGCTAAGTGTGTTCGAAGCAAAGGGGAGTATTTTGAGGGGGGTTAATGGCAGTGTGTCTTTTACTGTAATAATTTTTTATTTAAACATTCACCGTAGTTTGGTCATACCTTGTATTTAAACTGCTCGGGAGTCATCACAGGAGTGACTGCCCGGGGTGATAACATGGAAGAGTAAGGGTAACGTCTAACAGGCTGATGTGCACTGGGTCCCCTGAAGCCATCTGGGCGCAGGACACTGGTCCTCTTCGTAGTAGGCGGGGAGTGCGACCCTGAACAGGGACAAAATCCTCAGGCATCCCTCACTGCACTGCAGCCCCACTGCAATGCAGGAGCTGGAATTCCTGGCCACACCCTAGGTGGGCAGTTACCAGTGCGTCCTTACTAGAAGGGTGGGGTCATTTGTCTTATCTGTCCGCCAGCACCTCCACTGCCTGGGGCCTCAGTAAGCAATGGTTGGATTGCTTTTCAAAAGAGCAGCTCCCCCTCCCCACCCCCCCACCTGCTAGGTGGTGCTCTGTACACTCACGTTTAATGACATCCTAGGAGTCAAACCCGTTTGCATGCAAGGGGCATCTTATTTTAAAACGTCTGCCACTGCCCCCACCCATGGGTGTCACTGAGAATGGGTCTGGAACACCCCTTTTCCCACAGATCCCAGCACAGGCACGGGCTCCCATGCTCCCGGGTGTCAGCGCCCTTATTGTGACATTGGGAGTCCTGGTCCCACTACAGGGTGGGTCCCTCTGGGGTAGGGACCATTGTACTGCCCTGTTATCTCCAGGGCGGGGCACGTCTTCTCTAGAAGCAGAGTGTAGTGGTGTCCTAGGGTGAGTGGTGGCCCCAAAAGGTGTATCAACGTCCAACTCCGTGGGACCAGTGAATGGGACTCTGTTTTTGGAAAAGGGGTCTTTGTAGATATCATTAAGTGAAGAACCTAGCGATGACGCCATCCTGGATTAGTGGGTGGGCCGATGACCAGTGTTATGAGACAGAAGGTAAGAAAGACACAGAGAGGAGAGGCCTCGTGCAGACGGAGACAGAGATTGGAGGGACGGGCCAGAGCCAGGAAGCCAGCAACCGTGAAAGCTGGACAGGCAGCTGGCTCCTCCCAGAGCCTCCTGAGGAACCCCGCCTTCTTTCCACCGGCCCGGGCGCCAGGCACGAAGCGCTGGCCTCCAACAGCAGGACTTGCAAAAATGCACCAGAGTCAAGGGCACGAGATAGCAGAGTCACCACTGGCCATTCGGCCTCACCCAGGGATGAAGCTAAGGACACACAACAAACAAAAGTACCTGTGGTATTTAGAAGTGCATCAACCCGTGTGTCTGTCGGGAGATGCTAGCAGCTGGATATCCACCTACCCATTCGCCAAGGAACAGGAAGACAGGACTTGGGTAGAGAAAGCAAAGAACGAAACCCAAACCCTACAATTACCTGAAAGTGCATGATGTGAAACGACTCGAGGAAGCTAAGGGCCGCAATTCTGAAGATACAGTAGCTGTAGCGGAATTTTTAATGAAGGGAAGAGGCAAGATAGTCTTCCCTGTCCCCACACCTGTCCCCTCCCTGCTCGGGCAAGTCCTGGGACGTTCAGTGTGAGCCGAGCAGACCTGAGGGACGGCTAACGAGTGTTCTCAGAAAAGCAACACTACGGAAACATCTCACCACTTCCCCTGGGTATTTCTCCACTGACCTTTTCAAAAGGCATAAACCAAGTTTTGGGGAAATGGCTGCGAGTTAATGAATCAGTGATAACTTGGCTTGTTTCCAGGGGCTGTAAGATGCCCTCGGCTTGCCTGGGATTGGTCAGGCACAAGAAAGCAAGGACGCACTCCAGTGCTTCAACTCTCACGCTTGTTAACCCCAAGAACTAGGAAATGCAGAAAATATGGCCACCGCTGCATCAAACTGGAAGACCCGTGAGCACAGATCCTAGACAGGAAAATGGTTACCTGGGAGCTAAGCCCTCACAGAAACGAGCCAGAATGTGTTAATCCACGTACAGAAAACATGCATCATTCAGAGGAGTCCGTCAGCCCTGGAGGGACACACAGAAACATGAAAACTGAGGTGACCGCAGCACTGCCACCCAACACGGCCTTGTTGAGGGGTAGGGGATGGGGGTGTGTGTCAGCCACCAGCTTTGTGTGTTCCCAGACCTGATGACACTGTGGGGAGGGAGGAAAACGCTATCCAGCAGGCTGAGGGTTGGAGGTGCTGCCCACAGAGGCCATCTGAGCTGCCACCCACTCGTGTGGGCTCCCCAGGCGTGTCTGGGTGGGCCCTGGCCGCCTGCCTGAGCCACCTGGCATGTTCCTCCCCTGTGCCAGCTGGACTGCTATGTGACTCAGGACTTGGTTTGAGCTATCGGAGAAGCAGGTTCCCTGGTTCCCAGGCGCCAAGAAAATGGGAGGCCACAGCTCAGGGTGCCGCCTTGTGACCACGTGGGGAGGGCAGCACGAGAGGAAGCTGAGAAACAGCACATGCACGCGCACACGCGTGTGTACGCTCACACACAGGTTCTCTTCCCCGCCCCCACCCCATTTGAGCCCCGGATCAAGGGCCCCCTGTTTACACGAGCCTACACATTTCCACTTCTGCTTGACCATCAGTTGCCTCCTGGGCCTCTGGTTCTCCCAGGGCCCGGTTCCCCATAGGTATTGATGAGGCAGAGTGTCTGGGCCTCCAGAACCGAGGGCAGGAACTACCCGGCCCGCCTTTGTTTTTGTTTTTTGTTTTTAAGCTGAGCCATCTTGCTACCTGTTGGCAGGTCAGCGGCTGCTCATCTCGGGCTGGACTCGAACCGCTGTTGCTCAGAGCTCAAACTCTTGAGCGAGCTCTTAACCAACTGAGCCACTCGGCCGGCCCTTCGGCCGCCTTTGAATGACACCTGGCCCTATGCCTCCATCCTCCAGCCACTTGGTTCTCTAAGCTGACTTCTAGAACACAATGTTCGCCTGGTGACATGCCGCCACTCGGGGTCCTAGAGCCCGACCCAGCACAGCGGCAGGAGACTTGCAACGGGGCTACAGCTTACTCTCGGGTTCGTTATTGGCAGTGGGAAATGCTTCAGCACTTTATTGAGAGAAAGCAATAAATAACACTGTGATAAAAAGAGTTCAAAAGTAGACTGTACATACTTTGTTACATAATCAGGAAGTTCACAAAAGATTAATAGAAAAACAGAACGGAAACAGTGACTCGTACAAATCGAAAGCAGAAACCAAACGTGACAACATGCCACCCACCTGCACAGCGGCTGCATAATAAATAACGCACCTTGATCTGAACACATTTCCTGCCGGCGTTTTAATACGCCACGTAAAAGGTAACAGTTACGCTGGCTACTCAGACAATCCGAAATGGCTAATCATCAAAATCTAAAAATGTAAGACTAGGTCCAGTCTTTAAACATGTTTACAAACAAATGTAAAAAGATGATTGACATAAGAAAAATAAGGCCTTTGTTAGAGTCGTACGACATTATTTTCAGGCTCCCTCGCCGCCGTCTCCTCGGCACCACCGGCTTTGCAATGAGAGCACGGCGCCCGCGATTGGTCCTCTGAGTGGTTGTGTGGGCGCCCTGCGATCCTGCTTCCCAGGGGAGAGCGCGGCAGCCGGCCCCAGGCCCCCCACCCGAGCCTTTCTCTTCCGGCTGAGCCGATCCCCAGCTCATGGCTTCTGCCAGTCACTGACGACCAGCAACGTCCGCGGAGACGAGGCTCTGAAAGCGTTAACAGGTCCTCGGAAGTTTTCATAGTGTTCTGCTAGTCCTGTCAGTCCCAATTTTCTTAGAGGCTGATAGCTAACACCAGGTATTTTTAATCTGTTCACACTGCAGAAGCAAGCATTGCTTGCTAGAAAAAGTACGTACGGTTAGTCATTAAAATACAACAATAATTGCCTGACATTAGGTCTGCTTATTTAAAAGTGATTGTAGTGAGCTAGGGGACGTTTGTAAAGGATGATCACTGCGTCACGATGATTTTACAAACGCAGTAACATCCTTTTCTCTGTCATGGTTTATTATTACAAAATTAAACAATGATAATTACAATAAATGCATAATTTACAAAAGCCCTATATTTGTTCATAGGATTTATACATACAAGCATTACAGTACATTCATTTCAAAGACTAAAATTAGATATAAGAACATGAATTGATTTCAAAGGATATTTATAGCCTGGATATACATGAAAAAGTAAGTAACTATATAAATGAAGGCATAAGTTTACATAAATATAAGAAACATTAAATTCTAAAATATTTTCTCTATGGTATTCATGAATTTTTCACTAATTAAAAACTCTGTAATAAAATATCTCAGGGTCCATATAACAAGTATTAACAATTAAAGATTCCGTTGAATTCTAAAATGCAGTCTTTGCTGGATTCACAGCGCTGCAGAATCACCGGTAGAAGTAGTGTGGGTAAACTAGAAAATAAAGACAGACAAAAGAGCAGGTGTGAGCCTCGCCGCCCAGGCTGGTGTGCCCACTCCATGTCCTCCCACTCCACCGCAGGCACCCCCGCCTCCCTGACGCCTCAGTTCAGTCACTTTGAGAAATTAGAATAAACATCAAGGACTGTGCATATCAAGGAGAGAATGCCTTCACTGACTTCATTTTGGCCTACGTCTAAAAGTCAACTAAAAAAAAAAAAGATGATGAAACCACTCAAAGGTTCTGGCTGAGGTCTGAAAACTGAGCTGAGCAGAATTGCGCTCCTGCCCAGGGACCCCCACCGCCACCTCCAAGGCGGGGCTGGGTCCCTCAGGCCATGATCCCTGGGATGGCAATGCAGTTTTGTGTTTAAAAGCCAATCTCTCAGCTGCAAGGTTATTAGTGTCACATGATGGCACAGCCTCACGAAGCTCCGTACCTGAGGGCTTCTCACCCCAGAATGTGTGTTTACACAAAGCCAGCAACACCGCGCCCACTAGGGAATCACACCAGTGCCCATACACCTGTCAAAGCAGAGGGGCTTGCCTGCTGATCTTAACTCCGGGGCAGCCAGCTCGGAGCTGAGTTCGTGTTCTCTCCTGCCGAGTTCTGCTTTCCTGCCTCCCCACCCCCGAAAGGACATGACGGACAATTATAATGAGGTGGCAGTTTTAGGTTTAAGGACAAAGTGGAAATCCATGTTTTCTCCTTAAATCTGAGGCCACACTAACCTCTGTAGGATAAACTGGAAGCACCCAGCACAGCAAAATCACCCTAACGGGTGCGGAAAGGCTGGCGTGTCTGCAGTTTCTAGGCCCTGAGCTAACCACTGCGGGCTCCCGGCTCAAAGCCTGCAGCGCACGTGCCCGTCGCCCGTGACACGCCAGGGACCGCCATCTTCCTACTCACCACAGGCGGCCTCAGCAGGAGTAAGTCCTGACTGTAGCAGAATCCAACCTCTGCGTTCCTGACAGGTTGCCTGTTCCGACACCCAGGAGGCGTGCAAACACAGCATGCGGTTAGTCTCAGAAGTCACACCAGGGCACAGGCGCACACACACATTTTCACACCTACAACAGCACCTACTGAGGGCTCCAAGGGGAACGTCTAGAGCGGGAGGGGACGAGCCAGACAGAAAATCTAAGTGGCACCAAGTGGGGTGGCACCAAGTGTCTCTTCATCTCCCAGAAGCCCTGGGAGTCACCGGAAGTTCATTCCAAAAGAGCAATGACACAACAGATATAATAACAATTTCGTGACGTACATTTACATACACGACGCCTACTTAACGTGATAAACTCTGGATGAACAGAGCACTTTCAGTCCGAAATATTGTACCTGCAGGAATGGTCGCATGGAAAACCCAGCAGTCATGTGAGCAGGCACCAGCCCACTAAGGGAAGCGGGGATACCTCCCTGGCAGTGTAAGGGCCCCCGGGGCATGGCTTCAGGGGGTGGCTAGAGGACAGTGACATCTAAGAAAACCCAAGCTCAGCCTCAGTTTCTCCTGGAAACGTGTGCTACTGACTTCCTTTGGTTAAGAAACACAGCGCAGGGCCCACTAGATGCGCCCCAATTCCTCCTTGCAAACTAGGTTAAGACATTTAAGAAGATCTGTAGCAGATATTCACTGTTCCCAGTTACACATTTCCTGTTTTACAGCAGGAACACATTTTATGAATATTCTGTCGTGGTTGCAGAAAGGATGTTAAAAGACAGCTGGTGCTGCTGGGGAGAATGGTAAGCTTTATAAATCTTCCTGGTTCTAAGAGCCCAGGAATCCTGCTGCAATTTATCTTACACTCCCTTATTCAAAAAGCCATTAAGGGCCAACAGAGTGGCGCGATGGTTAAGAACTGACTTGGGATGCCAGAGGGCCCTGGTTCAGATCCCACATATGAGGGCCAGTGACACTGCCCTCTACAGCTAAGATGCTGAACAACAGCTCGACCTGGAGCTGGGCTGCCATGGGTCACCGGCGACGGCGTGGGCTGCAGTCCCTGCTACAGTGGGTTGCCATGGGCTACCGTGTGTAGCCAGCAGCCAGTATGAGCAGCCAGCAGCCGCCATGAGCAGCCGACCAGAAGCTGGCAACTGATCTGCCTCGCCCAGGAAGAGCACAATGATGGTGCCTTCTTGGGCCAGTGAAGCAACGTCCTCCACAACTAGACTGAAGAACAAAACGATAGCAACTTGTCTGTTCCCCTTACCCCAATTCTCCAATTAAAAAAAAAAAAAAGCCATTAAAACAAACCATTTTACCAGGTTTATGCCTCAGTTATAATATCATCCGGGAAGTTACCTTCCATATAACATGCTCCGTATGCCCTTTTCTAGCATTAGTTTTAATTTACCTAAACTCGAATCTCAATGTGCTGTTAATATTTAACAGGAAAAAGTGATTTGGAATGAGGAAAATAGGAATGAAGCTATGAGGAAGTAAGAAAGCACTCAGGTTATCTAATAAGTTGAAGGCCAAATTACAGTTAAAATTTGTAAGAAATTTTCTGCATGCTCCTTAAAAGAAAAATGCTACTTTTTCTGGCGGGGGAGGGCGGTTGTCACTTTCAGGGGTAAAAAGTGTAACTATTGCACTGTGTTGTACACCTGAAACTAATTTAAAAACAAAAAAAACTAATACACAAAGCAAGGTAAAAGAAAAAATTGTACACTTGAAATCTATGTAATTTTACTAATCATTGTCACCCCAATAAATTTAATTAAGAAAAAAACCCAGAAAAAAAAATAAATAAAATAAGCTACAGAACTGCCATTCTCCAGAGCATTTTCTCAATCTTTTTTGCTTCCTGGCAATTGTCCTCAATTTGGCTCAAAAATTCTCTACAGGTTTGGACGTTTATTTTTTTTGTTTTAAAGATTTTTATTGGGGAATTGGGGGATGGGAACAGGGCTGGGGAATTGGGGGAAGGGGAACAGACAAGTTGCTGTCATTTTGTTCTTCAGTCTAGTTGTGGAGGACGTTGCTTCACTGGCCCAAGTTGGCACCATCATTGCGCTCTTCCTGGGCGAGGCAGATCAGTCGCCGGCTCCTGGACAGCCGCTCACAGCGGCTGCTGGCTACACACGGTAGCCCATGGCAACGCACTGCAGCCTGTACCGTCACCAGCAACTCATGGCAGCCCAGCTCCAGGTTGAGCTGTTGTTCAGCATCTTAGCTGTAGAGGGCAGTGTCATTGGCCCTCATATGTGGGATCTGAACCGGGGCCCTCTGGTGTCCCAAGCCAGCTCCTAACGAACACACCACCCGGCCGGCCCTGTACATTTCTTAAGTCAACAACCCTAAGCAAGTTCTGTAACCTCTATGAACTTTCAATTATCTTGCCTGAAAAAATGGCAAAAATAATAACTTAACTCACTTTATTGTAAAGCATAAATTTGGTAAGTGTACATAAAATGTTTGGCCTACGGCAAAACACTCAAAAAAAGATATTATCAGTTCCTTCAAAAAAAAAAAAAAAGGTTACTGGCTTTTCCTCCCATTAAACATATGATTAAACTCTGGCAGGCAGATGTGGCTTTTTAATAAAAATGCTGACTTGTAAGCCATCCTCATTAGGTCTCCAGCTTGGCAAAGGCTTTGTATAAATGACTGTCTCTGATTTTTACATAGACAAGTGAGGGCAAAACTTATAAGCCTGCTTATGGGAAGGGCTAATAACTAGAAAGCTAGTAAACACCGCATCAGTACAATTTAAAAACCGCTCCCTTTCCTATAGCGTGCCCGACTACGTCAGGGAAGAAGAAAGTCATTGGTAACTGGAGTGCCATCATAATGACCCGTCCCAGCTAACACGCACGGAGACACGTGACGCGCCTTCTAAGTAAGAGCTTGTGGGGATGACTCCTGGGCCACCACAGGCAGCCGGTGAGGAAACAGGACCGCCACGTCACAGACAGGAGCTGAGGTGCAGCACTTGAGGCTGGCACCTTCTAGGTGGGGACGCTCGGAGCGCAGAGGTCAGTCACCCACGGCTGACTCTTAACTAGCGATGTACTCAAAGCACTGTGGTTGTCAAGGGAGAGTCACACGTGAAGCCGCTACGGCAGAGCTGGCACAGCCGGCAGGACCGGCTGCCCTCCAGTGAGGACTCCCAGCATCGCCTCTTTGCTTCTCTCCATCCCTTTCCCTTTGTAACACAGAGCAAGCGACAGGGACAAATCACAGCAGGGACAGAGGGAAGAAAGGAAAGGCGGAGCTCACAGAGGTGGAAATCGTGTCGTTTCAAACGGACTGAGTGACCTTTGCAGTGTGGGGAGCGGTCCCGGGGCTAAGTGATGTGGTGTGAAAGCTGCTTCCTAGGGCCGCCTGGCGCACGCGCACACCCCGCCACCCCTTTACAAGTCGGGGGTCAATCCGACGCTGTGAAAACACACAGTGCTTACCTTCATTAGCTGGAAGAATAGGAATATTCAACCAGACAAGAACTTAAAAAAAAATCTGTATTATTGTTAACCTTTTATCAACAGATGTTAGGATTGATTTTAAAACATTTAAACCTGGGCATGCGATAGCACTCAGCTGCCTCGTAACACAAGATCGGCCATTCTAGATGATCACCAACGTGCCAGCCAGAGAGCTGCTCGTGCTGCCTACACAAGGCGGGTGGCCTGACCGTCACGTACCGTCCAGCTGCATCTTCTTTGGCTGCATAGAGGGTGAGGACAGAGAGGAGGTGACCCGGAAGTTTGCGGGGAGAGTCTCTGCTGACCCAGCAGCTAAGCCACGAACGTCCTTTGGTCTAAACTTTTTCCTCCAAGAAGGTGCTCTCCTAAAGCTTTTATCATCATCCTGGTAAGTTAAAGGGCAGAACACAAAACTGACTTTAAAACAAAGGACAAAAATGTCAAGTCAGAAGTCCTTTAAAACGTCTCCTGAACTTGCCGCTGCCTTCCTGTTCACATGCATGCAGCCCCGTGCTTGGTTACTGTGCGATTTACTGACCACACTGGGGCTTCTGAGAGCGAAAGGCCTGGTAGCACGTATGCTGGGGCCGCAACTGGGCAAACGGGGTGCTCCCGGGCCACGTGGGGGGTGCTCCTTCCCTCACTCCACTTCTTATCTCTCAAAAACCACCTTCTTACTATGTAATACATTCTTTATTTGTATTAAAAATCGTTCTCAAGCTGTAACTAATTCCGTTTTATGCTGGGACAAGCCAGCAAGTGTCTCTGTAGTGTCTTCTATTCTCTTTGGCAAACTCAACCTTTCTTAAGATCCAATGAAGAGAATAATGAATGACAGTGTGGGAATAAAATGAATCGTGGTTTTGTACAAGGGGACGTCACATTTTGTGCTTCTCAATATGCTTCTGAAGTATTCCCCCAAAGCACAAGACTCTGGGTGGGGAAAGACCCAGCTATCCCCAAAACAACTTACAGGCAGACTCCATTCCCAGGCCGCAACCAGTGTTTCATGATGTGAAAAACACTTTTGAAGGTTATCAAAAGTTCAACAACAACAACAAAAAACTCCAATCTTATTGAAAATAATAGTTTTTTAATAGCTCACTTGTTAATAAAATTTAAGACCAATGCGTAACTTGTAAAATTATTGCCACATTTACAAGAGGTACCTGACTAAACAGTTCATACAAATACGACAAAATAATTTACACTTAATAGAAATTTCAAAATTGTTAGGCTGAAAAGCTTACTTCATCGAACCGTCTGTCAGTCCCCATGACCAAAAGGTTGTTAAACTCTCTTTCCAAGACAGCACGAGCCTGAAATCAGAACAGAACAGCCAGACATTTTCATCAATCTAATCAGAAGGCTGTCAGCACATCACAACTGTTCTTCAAACCAAGACTTCTATAAACCTGTTTGAAAAGCAGTGAATGCCTTAAACTGCGACTGTGTTCTAAATCCAGGTTTTAAAGTGGAGTCCCTGGACACGCTTCTGCAACGAGCGATCCGCGGTCTCTTGGAAATTCAGCTCAGTGTGCTGTGTGGGCTGGTGAAGGCGGGGCAGTCAGGGGCATTGGCAAAAGATACACACTCTTCTGTAGGATAAAACACTTCCTGATCCTCTAATGAGCCCATGAGTCAAAAAGAGTTACACAGGGCAATTACCCACAGACACACAATGAATAAAACCTCCACCTGGCAGATCTAAGAGCGTTTCTCTTTCCACGTAAGAACTATGTCACTCTTACGAGCATGTGTGCTTGAACGGAAGTTCCCCCTTGTTTGGTTTAATGCAAGACTCTCAGGTTTGCGACAGAAAATGGACAGAGGACAGGCAAATTACTAAAGAATGAAGCATTGCTGATTTGAACCGTGATCACGGATTCAGTAATGGAGAGAGACTGCTGGTTGTCTGAGCTTCTCTACGTCTGGTCTCCACTGGGACACTAGCTCAGCGTCCGTCGGGAGGGCCGCCCGGCTGGGTGTTACCTGTGTGTTCTGTGTGGGGATCTGTAACAGCAGTGCCAGTGCGTTGAAGTCGAAGGTCTCGTCTAAGGCCACGAGCGCGCCGTGCACGCCGCTCTCCAGCAGGTTGTTCGCATACTCTTTAAGGCCGATCGACAGGATCCAGCGAATCACTCGATCGTTGCTCCAAACAAGCACGTCTGCAGGTGAGTAAAAACAATGATAAACGTGGCTCCGGAAAGCTGCCTTCATCACACACGCGCTGTGACACAGGTCAAGGGGCCTAGATGGTCCTGGCCCTTCCGTTCCTGACCAGACAGTCTCCACGAGAGCTGGGGCACAGCACTAAGGGTACAGACACCACCGCTGCGTTCAGACATGGGTGCCTCGGCCCTCGGCCAGTCTCGGAAACCTTCCATGAGGACTCATTCTTCCAGTGAGCCCGAAAGGAATGAAGTGATGTCCATTCGGTGTCTAGAGAACAGGAAATGATGAGGGTGCAGGGGTCGGAAAGCAGTACACAGACAAGAACCTGAATGTCCTCCAGGTGCCAGCACGTCCACACAGACTTCAGGGCCCCAGAAACTGTCTTCCTGTCACAGGGTGGGCACCAGCTCGGCCACCTCGCTCAACTCAACACAAACCCTCCTCTCAGTAAGTCACAATCGATCGAACAAGGAAGCCAAGATAAACCACCTCAGAGGGGTGGGAGCTCTAAACAACACAGTCAACCAGCCCGACCTGACATTTTATAGAACATGCCACGCCACAACAGAATACGTCCTTTTCAAGTACGCATGGAACATTCTCCAATTCTCAGAATTATTCTCAGAATTACAGGCCTCTGTAATTGAGGCCTTTGTCGTCGTCTCATTGTAAAAACAGGGACACTTAAAGATATTCTCCAGCATACCAGAGACTTGGGGGAAGAGCTTATACTATGCAAAGCAATGAACTATTAAGTGTGCTCTAGTTGAGATCTAAAAATAGCCACTCTGTCAAATACAAACAGATGACCACCAATTACTTTCAAAGAGACAGCTTTTGTCAACTGTAAAGATTTAAAGTGGACACAGAAAACAAATGAGATTTACAAATTTAATTTCCAATATCCTTTTCCGGATAAAGGGGTGTGTGCACACACACATGCACATACATGCACACACATGCACGCACACACACGCACAGTAAACGGTGGCTGTCGCTTTTCCTCATGCCTCACAGTAACTCGAGCCTGACTAGGCTATCCTTCCAATGGGCCATCGCCCCAACCGCATTTTCATCTTCCGTCCCTTTCTTAGCAAAAGCTGGGGGTGAAAGCGGCACTTACAAGGCTGCGGTGAGAGCGAAACGAATCAACCTATGAAAGTGCCTGGGGTCGTTCAGGAAGTCCTCTCTTATTACCAGGCAGTAGTGGTGTCTTAACGCTCCACTGTGTGGGGTTTCTGTGTATTCTGAGGATTCTAGGAGACTTGATGTCAAGCTCGATCGCTGGCCCCTCACTTCAAAGCAACCTGCTTCCCTGGTCACTCGGAGGTGCTGGGAGCAAGTCCCCGTCGGAGAGCAGCCTGGTCTCCGGCTGACGCCCAGGCCCTTTGACACCCCGCCCATGTTCTAACTGGAAGGCCTCTGTCTGCCTCCCGCTGGAAGGAGCTCCCACTCCATCTTCAAGGCCCCGCTGACATGTGAGCCCGGGAGCAGACGCACCATGTCCGTCTGTGCTTCTAAAGTCCCTGCACGAACGGCCAGAGCCATCCTCCTCACACTTCAGCCGGGGAGCCAGCGTAGGGCCTGGCGCGTCTCAGGGACACAGCGCCCATGAGCTCACCACAGGAAATCTCTGCCGCTGTCGGGAAATGCTCACCTGACACAGCCGGCCTACACACTGGGGGGAGCACAAGAAAACAGGTGCAAGCTCTGGCCATGCGGGAAGACCTGAGCGGCACTCATTCCACCCAGGATCTCCCCTCCGTGACGACACCAGACGTGTCTTCTCCACTTAAAGCAGCGGTTCTCAACCTTCCTAATGCCACGGCCCCTTAATACAGTTCCTCATGTTGTGGTGACCCCCGACCATAAAATTATTTTCGTTGCTACTCTATAACTGTCATTTTGCTACTGTTATGAATCGTAATGTAAATATCTCTTTGTTTTCTGATGGTCTTAGGCGACCCCTGTGAAAGGTCGTTCGATCCCCAAAGGGGTCGCGACCCACAGGTTGAGAACTGCTGACTTAAAGCCTTTCCTCATTTTTTTAAAAACAGGAAATCACTGCGGCTGCAAATACACTGGGAAGCAGACATATGCTGAACCAAGCAACATCATGTACTGGCCTTTTATTTCGTTCTGGCTTTCTTCTCTTCTTCTTTCCAGTTCTTTTCGATCATAATTTAACCTTCGCAGGCACATAATTCCGCACTGGAAACTGTTTCTATTTACAAAAAATATATATATATATTAGAGATGGCAGCAGTCACTGGTGTCTCAGCCAACTATTGAGGTGTGTTTGCAGTGCTTTACCTGTGCAGACTGTCCACCATTTTCAGCTGCCCTCGGAGGTCTTTCTTGGTCAGGTGGTCCAGCATCCGGGCATCCACCAGACACTCCATGAAGTAGCTGCGGTACTGCGGGAGGCCCAGGCTGGGCAGCCACTCATTGCCGATCCACTCGTGGTTCATGTCCCCGTAGGCCAGCGTCTGCTTTCAGTAAGGAGGTGTGATCAGTGCAGAGAAAACTCCACGGGAGAGGTCACAAGAACAGTTTAAATAATCTTTAAACTGGATTTCAAATCTATTATATATTCTCAAAGGCTAAACTAACTAATGACAACACTGTTTATTAATTCTAATTTCAAAATAACCTGCTCTCTTATTAACTATCTTTTAAATTTGCTAGTAAAATTGTATGTAAAAGGAATTATACTCTTAAAAACCTGTGACTGATTGTTTATAAATTTAACCTATTTACCAAACCACAATAAAGCTGTCACTGACTACACATTATCTTTTTGAAATAGTTTTATGTATAATAATATAACACCAAAGAATGGCCACGACTCATGAACAAGTTTGAAGGATCAATCTAGCTCTACTCATTAAAATATCTCTGGCTGGTTTTAATTTTACTTTTAACACTTCATTTTCCAAATTTCCTTAACAAAACATCTGTTAATTTCAAAATCAGTTAAAGTGAATTAAAACATAGTTTTAAAAGAAGAGATAAACAAAGTGACAACTGATGGGACTGAAAAGAGAAACAGACGCACAAGTATAGTCAGAAGACCTCAACCCTCCTCTCAGTAAGTCACAATTGATCGAACAAGGAAGCCAAGATAAACTACCTCAGAGGGGTGGGAGCTCTAAACAACACTGTCAACCAGCCCGACCTGAATTTTATAGAACATGCCACGCGACAACAGAATACGTCCTTTTCAAGTACGCATGGAACATTCTCCAAGACAGACAAATCTCAACATACATAAAGAGGCTGAAATCATACAAATTATTTTCTCTGTTTTTCATTGCAAAAATGCATCATGACTTTTCCGACAACCCAGTATGTTCTTTTATCTCAAAGAATTAAGTTAGAAATCAATATTAAAAAGGTATCTGGAAAACTCCTAAATATTTGGAAATCAGCATACTTCTAATAACCCACGTGTCAAAGAAGAAATTACAAGGGAAATGAGAAAATATTTCTAGTTGAATGAATGAAACACAACATATTCAAAAATTGCGGGACACAGCTAAAACAGTGCTTTGAGTGAAATTTATCGTATTAAATGCTTATGTTATAAATGGAGAAAGGTCACAAATCAATAATCTATGATTCTATGTTAAAAAACTTGAAAAAGAAGAGCAAATGAAATCTATAGCAAGGAGAAGAAATAAATTAAAAAGGAGCAGAAACCAATGAAACAGAAACCAAAAAAATAACAGAAAATAAAACAATGAAGCTAAAATCTGGCTCTTCATAACTATCAATAAATTTGACTAACCAGAGTAATCCAGAAAAAAGAGAAGACGTTACCAATATCAAGAATGAAAGGGGACAGAAGTACCGATCCTACAGACATTGAAAGGGTCATAAGGGAAAACTGTGAACAACTTTTAAGCAACTTAGATAAAATGGGCAAATTTCTTGAAAGACATTATCTACAAAAGCCACTCAGGAAGAAACTGATAACCTGAATCTATTAGAATTCTAATTTATAGTTATAAACCTTCTCACCTATAAAATCACCCTAAATGGCTTCACTGGTGAATCCAACCAAACGTTTATGGAAAAAAATAGCAATTCTAAACAAACTATTCCAAAGCAGTGAAGAAGAAATGCCTAACTCATTCTACAAGGCCAGCATCAGTCTGATACCAAACCAGACAAATGTATTACAAGAAAACTACAGACCAATATCCCTCACAGACACAGATGCAAAATTTCTTATAAAACATTAGTCAATCAAATCAATAATATATTAAAGGAATTATATATCATGACAAGTGGGATTTCTCTCAGGAACGAACATAAGTTTGGGTCAACATTTGAGATGAAATCCATGAAATTCACCATATCGAGACTGAAAAGAAAAACCACAGTATCATCTCAAAAGGTGAGGAAAAGGCATTTAACAAAATTCATCATTCATTTATAGAAATCTCAGCATTCTTGGAATGGAAGAAAACTGCCTCAGTCTGATAAAGGGCACCTACAAACAAACAATGGAATGCTGACACCATCCTTAATGGCCAAAAACTAGGTATTTCTCCCTAAGATCAGAAGCAAAGTAAGGATGTCTGCTCTTAGCACTTTTACTCAACAGTGCTGAAGCTCCCAGCCAATGTAATAAGGCAAGAAAACGAAACCAAAAGCACATGAATTGATAAAGAAAAACACTGTCCTTATTTGTGGATGACCTGATGATCTACGTAGAAAATGAAATCTACTAATCAGTATCAGAACTTAAGTGAGTTTAGTAAAGTTGCAGGATACAAGGTCGATATAAAAAAATGAACTGTATTTCCAAACACTGAAATGAACTGGAAATTGATATTTTAAAAATACCATTTACAATGTCATCAAAACCCATGAAATCCTTAAGGATAAGTCTAACAGAATAGATACAAGCTTTGTACAATGAAACAGAAATAAGCACATTATATGTATAAACATACATATCAAAGGAAAGCAAGAAGACGAAGCAACATTCACAGGAATTCTGTACATTATGGAGTCCTTCGAAACAGGAACTCTCAACTACCACCATCTTGTCTTGAAAATATGGCCTCTAATCTAATTTATTATTTATACCAACCAAGCTGGAAGGAATGACTCAAACGCCAACAAGAGTGCTCAGATTCTAATGGGGAAAAAAAAACAAGTTTCACTATTTGCTCTAAACAAACAACCATGACTGAGAAAAGCAGCAACCTTTTTGGGGGGCATCATCACAATATCGTGTGTTTTCACCCTTTCAAACCCTCCTCTCATCTCGTAGGCCTGATACCTACAGCATGAATATCTGATATTGTCTTCTTGCTTGCTGATTACATATCCTTAAATGGACACAAAATGCAAAGAAATTTCTAATCACAAAATTTCATGGAAGCAGAACCCTCCTCATTTGTGTTTCCTCACTCTCTGCTCTATTCACACTAATGTGAGCTCCTGGGAGGGCCGGGCTCACGGATCCCAGGGAGACCCACATCTCCTGGGCTGCCATCACAGGCCTTCTGAAAAAAGCACGCGACAGGGCTCTCATGGGCTACAGGAGACAGCCTCAGGCACAGGCTCTAATTTCCCCCTGTTGAAATGATTACGACTCCATTTTCTAACTCTAAAATGTGACGCTGGCAGAGACTGGCTGCCCTGTTCAGCCCTGTTTCTGGGAGGCGGCAGTCTCGCACACAGAGCGTGCTGACGCTGCTTGCTCAATGGAAGCCCTCATGGCTTTGAACACACTTGGTGTGTTCCTCCCCTGAGCACCCCAGGGCATCTCACTTCTCCTGGGCTTATAAGTGCAGCGTGGGGAAGGCACATGTATGCCTCCTGCTCGGCAGCACCTGGCAGTTTCAGATACCAGGGAGCCTGGGAGCCTGGTCAAGAGGGGATGGAGCAGAAAAGGTCTTTGCTTCCGCTGGAGATTGAATGTTGGCTAATGCTGGTGCCATAGGTGCCGCTCGTCCTTGCTTTTATTTCCATTGTAAGAGCAAATGTTCAGCTTCTTTAATTTACACTTCATGCCCCAAAGCAGGGAATTTCATACAGAAGTGCTGACAACGCTCCGCTTCTCAGGGTAAAATATACTCACAATTTAAGTAATTATGAAATGTACCCTTTCAATTCACTAATGGTCCTTACTGGCCCTGGAAAGAGATATTTGACTAGGCTAAGTAATTAACAGGGACATTTATCTGGAGTAGCGGCACATAAATGGGGGCCGCAGAGAATCGGATTACAGCTCCTCCCCACTTCCGTTAAAAAAGATACAACTGGCTTTACTTTAGAAGCACAGAGAGAGTGAAACTGGTGTCTCAACCAGCCACTTGTAATCAGGAAAACTGATTTTAAGTTGTTTTGGTTTTTTTCAGATATACAAGTAATCTTCAGTCCTGTACACAATGCCACTGACAGGAGCCTCAGGAGACGCTGCCTGTCCACACCGTGTAGCCTCTGGTTTGTCGCAGAAACGGACAGCACAGCACACAGCGGGGCTGCTGGGATCACAGCGGGGAGCGCCACTGTTTCCAGGCAGTCTGTCTGAACGGAAGGCTGCAGAGCAGTCGAGATGAGGAAGTGGGGGGCTGAAAGCTCAAGGACATTAAGTGAGATGAGGCTTCATTTCTGAGAATTAATGGAATTAATGGAAAGTTTTTAGTTCCACACAGTATTTAGGACAGTTCTTAGTAAAACACTGACACGAGGACCTATTCATGTGGTGGGAACGTGTGAGAACATGGTTTTCCCATCAGCAGATCTCGTAACTAAAGTTCCCCCACGAGGGACTGATACACATCATCTCAGGCAGGAGCTGCCGAAGCCACAGGACTTTATATCAAAGATCATACATTGGGGCCAGCCGAGTGGCTCAGTTGGTTAAGAGTTTGCTTAAGAGCACGAGCTCTGAGCAACAGAGTCGCCGGTTCAATTCCCACATGGGCCAGTGAGCAGCACCCGAGCTGAGCTGCCAGTAGATGGCAGGATGGCTCAGCTGGTGAGAGCACGTGCTCCTAATGACAAGGTTGCCTGTTCGATGGTGGCTACGCCCACTCATGGCTGGGACTGAACTTGGCACCTTGAGCTGAGCTGATGCCCGGATGGCTCAATGGATAGATCGTGCGCTCTTAACAGCAAGGTTGCTGGTTCGACGCCCACATGAAAAATAAATAAATAAAAGACCGCACACTCAACACAGCAATCTGCGTTAATCAGAATGAACTACCATGGCTCCACACGAGAAATGCTGGCGAGTGTTCAAAATTGTCCATGAGACGTGCTCTTTGTAGCCTTTACTCCTATGCTTTGCTCTGACTAATGCCTTCACATCATTAACAATATTCTGAATGCATTAAGATGTTAAAAATGTCAAGAAAAGTAAATTACGAGGTTTCATACGCCAACTCTTTTTGTTGCTGTGCATATAGTGAAGGATACATTATAGAGAGTCTCCAACCTGAGCCCAGCTGCCCTCCTCATCTTCCTGAGGTTACGTGGTTAGGGATGCAAAAGAACACAGCTATTAGTATTGGTGAGCTTAGGAACGCACACAGATTAACTTGGGAGGGAGGGTGCAGCGGAACCGGGTGAAAAGTTCAAAAACTCAAAAGCATCATGCAAAACTCATGCAAAACCAACAAGTCCAGTTTCTCATGCAAGGAGCCGATGCCCCACAGCAAGCACATCTATATGAGGGAGAGCCAGGGTGAGACCGTTCAAATGGGGCGCTACACTGAGGGCTCCCCTGGGGGAGACGAGGGCTCAGTCTACTCTGAATCGGGCCCGTCTACCAACTCTAAGCTCCTGGACAAAACCTGAAGTAAGATCGAATGCGAACTATCGTACACGCTTCTCTAAGACTTAAAGGAAGTACTTATCCGGAACAATGCTACGTGATAGGAGGTTTTTGTCTCCGCCGCGCAGCTCTTAACGTGGCCGTGCACGGAGGGGAAGCCGAGTTCGGCCGTGACTGACCGTTTGTGGCGTGGCTGTGAGCGTCTCCATCTCCTCGTGCGTTAACCAGACATTTCCTGTGGTCTATGGTGACCCCAGTGACCAAGCACATCCAGGGCAAGGGGAGCAGTGACAAAGAGGAAAGGTGGCAGACACGTAAGCCTCGGGCACAGAGAGGAGCCGTGGAGGCAAAGCTTCCTTCAGATGCCCACACAGACAAGGACAGAGCCTCCGCACAAGCTCGGCCCCTTTAAAGGGTAACCACACGTGATTAACCCCATGTCGTCAGTAACAAGGAGAACACAATTTCTGGAGCTGTCTGTCATGCTTACCACCCGAGGAACGTGACACATACAGAGAAGAGAAAGCACTTGGTACTTTTGCAAACCGTGCTTCTCGGGTAGGTCTTCATTCGGTGTGTTTACACGTCTTACCCAAGCAAAACACAGCGAAGGGCTATGAGAACACGGTTCCCAGGAGGACTGGACAACCACGCCCGGGGGAACTAGGGGGCAGGGAGCAGGAGAGCTAAGCGTGTCCAAAAGAATGCAACGGCACCACCGACCTGTCACATCAGACGGACGCAGGCCGTGTGGCCCTGGGCACGCCTCAGGGAGCGGGGTGTACCGTGTCCTAATGTGAGGTCCGTTCTCCAACACTACCCGTCAAGAACTGCCTTTACTTTGGGAACACCGCCCCAGCACCTTCATTTCTAGAAGGCCACGCTGATGGGAAACTACTGGGGAACAGGGACCAGATCAGCACTGTGACACTGTGACTGACCCCGCCACTGGGCAAAAGCTACTGTGCAGTAGGTGAGCGCACAGGGTCACTGCCCGTCACCACAAGCTTTTCACCAAGAAACAAAATAAAACAAACAGAGATGCTCTTGGTGCTGACCATGTGGAACTGCGCCCTGAATCGGGCCTCGACCTGCTGCTCAGAGACGCGTGGCTGTGCGGTGAGGCTCCGAGTTTCTCAGCCGGAGGTCTTCTCCCCAGAGCAGACCAAAAGCACAGGGAAAAGCCTGTCCTGTCTCCCAATTCCCGTTAATGCGTTCCTTAGACTCGTTTTTAGCTTTTTCAACAAGAAGGACCCTCTTTTAGGACTTTCCAGGTCTCCCCACAGGGAGCGGACTGTCTGGGCACAGGTGTACACAGGTGTGATGCTTAGTGTACATGCGAAGGTTTGTGGACTGCTTAATACCGAGCTCCCCAAATGGAAAGCACCGGTAGGCCAAACCAGTCAACAGAGCAAAACGCTGGTCATAGTGCAACTGGGGATCCAAGCCTTTCCCCTTCACTTTTCATAAATTTATGTTTAAATGTGATCATTACTTTCCCACATTTTCAAAAACTCCTACTTCTATATTACAGTGCCACTGTGGTCAAGCTGTTATAAAAGCATTGCATAAAGTATATTTTAAGCACCCAATTGTCACAGATTAAAAGTTGTAATGTTTCGGGTGCTACAACTTTAATTTGGAACACTGGGTGTGTTGAGAAGCAACATAAACGGGGCAATGCTTCCTGCAAAGGTGTTTCCTTCTTCCAAAGAATCAACTCTTGGGACTGAAACATACCGTTCTGGACGTGGGAGGGGCTGACGGGCTGGTCAGGGACATGATTTCCTGAATCGCCAGCCTCAGCTTCAGCCTGTGCAGGGGGTTACTGATGCCGATCTCCCGCTGGATCTCCGTGTCCGACAGGGCCGACATGATGGCCCCGCTTTTCACATTGGCTCGGCAGGCGGCCACGTACCAGGCTGGCATCCCCACCCAGAGCTGGAGACAGGAAGTGTGAAGGCGAGAGGTTAGGCTCAGGTTATGAAATGGACTACACCGTCACACATGCAACCCCCGCAACCCAGGGTTAAAAGGAGGTACCTCCAGCCAGACGACAACAGTTGGCCCGTCCCATTGTGCAAAAGGCAAGCCTTGCCTCCGGGCCTCCTCAAGCAACTCATGCCTGCAAATAACAAGATATTCAAAATTAAAGAATCCCTATCACAGGCATACATAAAACAACACTTTGTAAATTTCACAAGTGTTAATTAAGTGTATCTCATCATTTCCCTTTCATCTTCTCCACCGTCTGCTTTGTACATAATACAATGAATGCCTTACGGATGGAATGCTGATTGACCCCACGATTCTCTATACAAGCATCTGCTTGCAGAATTAACCCTCCGTCCGGCGCATCTGATCTCACAGATTCATTGCACACAAATTTTCAAATATCTAACAGTTAGCTTAAGTATCGTGCCTCATCGCTTCCGACTCTTCCCCCTCTACCGTCACCTATCGCCACTTGTGTTTGTGACTCAGTGCAGTGAAGACGTATTTCATAGCAGCATCTTTAATCTCGCAGATTCGCTGTGCCTATTTGAGAATTTTTTTATATTTTCTCAACAGATTTTTTTGTACAGTACTATCCTTTCAGACATTCCAGAAAGAGACTGTAAGTATAGTTTTACTACTGAAACTTAGTAATTAGGTATTTTATTTTCTAATTAATCTGACAGATTTATTGCACCTGTTTAGGGTTAATATTTTTCCTTTGTAGGTTTTACTTTCTAAAATGGCTCAGCCTCAAAGATTTTATAATCCAGATGACCCGAAAGATGCTGAGATATTGCTACAGATGTTGATGGAGTCTGATAATTAAAATGAACTTGAATTTGAAGGCGAAAGTGACATAGATGGTGAAGATCAAGTTGAATAATGAGACCAAAATTCTGACACTGAGCAAGAAAGTTCTCCTTCAGGGCCAACTGAGTGGCACGTTGGTTAAGAGCTGGCTTGGGACGCCAGCTCTGAGCAGCACGGTCCCAGTTCGGATCCCACATGAGGGCCAGTGACGCTGTGCCCTCTACAGCTAAGATGCTGAACAACAGCTCAACCTAGAGCTGGGATGCCATGAGTCGCCGGCGCAGCATAGGCTGCAGTGGGCTGCCGTAAGCTACTGTGAGTGGCTGGCCACCGCCGTGAGCTGCCAAGAGCCGCCATGAGCGGCCATCCAGTGGCCAGTGACCGATCTGCCTCACCCGGGAAGAGCACAATGATAATACCAACATAAGCCAGTGAAGCGACGTCCTCCACAACTAGACTGAAGAACAAAAGGACAGCAACTTGTCTGTTCTCCTCTCCCCCAATTCCCCAATACAATCTCAAAAAAAAAATTCTCCTTCAGAAAGTGATTGAGAAAGTAGTAATGAAGAAATAGATGAATATTTTATTGGGAAAGAGAAAATATAAGTGGCATTAATGCACAAGTGCTATACCTAGAGCAGCGGTTCTCAACCTGTGGGTCACGACCCCTTTGGGGGTCAAACGACCCTTTCACAGGGGTTGCCTAAGACCATCGGAAAACAAAAAGATATTTATATTACGATTCATAACAGTAGCAAAATTACAGTTATAGAGTAGCAACAAAAATAATTTTATGGTTGGGGGTCACCACAACATGAGGAACTGTATTAAGGGGTCGCGGCATTAGGAAGGTTGAGAACCGCTGACCTAGAGAATGAAAATGAAGTTAAAAGAAGACGTTTATTTTTGATACAGTTGAGTAGGGAATTGGTAGCCGAACATATTAACCAAAGAGCTGCAAAAAATAGGGGAATTCTTTCACTTCTCCAACAAAAATTGCAGAAGTTTACTACACCTGCTGTCAAAGTTCAAGCAGAAGAACCTGAGGCTACCACTTCATCAAACAAAAGGAAACAGTGTGCACCTTGCGTAGGAAACAAAAGACAAGGTGTTCCAAATACTTCTGTAAACCTTGCAAACAATTTTTGTGCTTAGAACATGCGACAATAATTTATGAACATTGTTTCAACTTGAAATTCGATGGCAATGAGGCTGATGAAGAGCAATCAGATTATTTTTTGTTATTTTATTAAATGACAAATTTTGTTTCAGTTTTATGTTTTGAATTTCTGTTGATTTTTATACTGAGTTTATGTAATAAACATTGTTTTTACTTTGTGGCAAATTAAAATTTCATTCTGAATAAATAATAAGCATGCTTACACGTTATTTTCATTTTCAATTTAAATAAATAAACGTCATACACGCATCTAGTAGATGCATTACGCCCAATGGAGGGTTAAACAATTATTACCAATTTTTAAAAAAAAGCAGTCTTCATATCCAAGGTAGGATGCCCAAGGGAAAACATAATCACTCCCCTCTTTCTAAACAATGAGGAGAAATATGGAGAAGAAGACACTAGACCTGGATCTGCCTCTGAGAGCTTCCAAAATCTTCAGTTTTAACAATAACACCACCACCAAAAAAGTGCTGATGTTTAGCATTAAGAGTGGCCCGATGGGCGAGCAGGTGATGGACTAGACTTTGGCTGTTTCTAGTCTCTACTGCTCTTTGGCTAACGAGGTATTTGCTAAATTAGGACACTGCGTCATCCCGTGGTCTAACCCACAGGCTTCACACCCAGGAAACGTCAATCCCAACAACTTCTCCCGTGCACACAGGGAGGGTCGTGAGTGTGAGACTGACGCCACAGGGCAGTAAGCTGGGACGGGTCTGGGGGCCCTTGAGGGGTCGGAAATACTCCGTAGGCCTGATTTTAAAATAGCCAAACCACAACTTTACCATATTAACATCTTTAAACATGACTTGGCTGCTCACATAGTTACATAAGAGATAACACAAGAAGCTTTATAAACCTTATCTCACATCTCTGTGTTGTCTACTTACAAGGCTTTGTAAAGGACACTAATTCTTTTTAAAAATGAAAAGCCTAAAAGAGGAGACGGGACCCGCAGAGGACAGGCCCATTTAGCTCACAGGCCTGGACATCGCTGAGACATTTTTAAATTCTTCGGTCAGTTTTAGTCATTTATTTTCAGTAATGATTCCTGCAGAACACACCACTGAATTTTTTATTTCTAAACACACATATCAGATCTTCGATATATTTAAACAGTATCCGACTTTTCTTAAGACAAGTCTGTGTACAATTAAAGCTGAAGTCGTCACATAAAATTTCAAATGAGTGTTCCTTAAGTCAACCTCAGGTTTCCTGGGAATAATAAATACTGTCAATATCTAGGAATAAGTATACCGAGATTGTAAGAGACGTCTTAACAGCTCAAGGATAAAAAAAAAGGGCAAACTTTTCCAATTAAAATAAGCAAAGCTGCTTATAAATAAAGAAGACTCTGAGACCACCCAGAATTGAGCTCGTGAGACGGGACAACAATGCTGGTGGGGAAGGCGGGGGGACAGGCAGAAGGGCCTTGCTGGGCGGAACGAACCATCCTTGTGCTGAATTAAACGCCACTTTGTTTCCTAAGGACAAATTCTCCTCAGATAAGGCTGTGTCATGCCAGCACTCACAGAAGCCTTCTAAGCCACAGCAGCACTTCAAGTAAGTCCCTGGCAGGTGGACCAGGACTGACAGCACAGCCAAGTGCTAAGTCCCGAACAGTGCAGCCCGCCTGCAGAGAGGGTTCCAGGTCCCACGAAAGAGGTCCTGAACCCCTGGCCATAGACTTCATTTTCCATCTGAAATAGCTATTCACTGCAAACAGGGGGTATCGGGTTAAATCAGTCTTTAATTCTGGTAGTGGGCAGTGGTGCACCTCCCCTGACTACCGACTTCTGGGTCCTCATGAAACTGGGCTCAGGCACTGGAAGCAGGGCGATACAGCGAAGAGGCGCGGAAAGTTAGCGAGGAGGTCGGGGAGACGCCAGCGGGGCGGCTGGCCCAGGTCTGCGGGCTTCCTGGCTCCCGCCACCCCTTCCCCCATCAGGCCAGTCCATGACCTAGAAGACCAAACCTGGGACCTGACCCCTGGGCTATCATCCCAGGTGGGAACAACAGCGCCCCCTTCTTCTCTGGGGGTGACTGCTCCCATCATGTGAGAGGCCCCTGCGCCATGGGAGAGAGCGAGCTGGGGGCCGCCTAGGCGCTGTGGGCGGGCGCGGCCAGGCCAGACTTGGAGGAGCGCGGCCGGCTCCACTCGGGCCTTCCTGTCACTTGGCTTCGTGAACGAATACGCGCCTTTCTTCTGCCACTCTCCTCGACCTGCAGTTGGTGTAAAGGAAATGGCGAGGTGCAGCTCGCCAGCTCACCCGTATGATCACTTCCTAATGATCACAGAACCATCCATTTTCCTAGTTTACTACAACTACAGAAATACTTATAGCATTTATTTAACCCTCAGCAAAGTTAACCGGAAGGGAACGAGGTGTTCTTTGACAGGTCAATTTTCTAGAAAACAGCAACTCTTCTGGCCATCAGCTCCAAAGCCTAACGCGGGAGATCGAAGGGGACGGACTCTAGGAGCCCTGGGGAGCGAGGCGTACACAGCCCCAAAAGCAATCGGAGGCCTCGTTTGGATTTTGCTGCCATCTCCTTCCTCTGCTGGAAGAGGCTGCTCGCTGCTGTTGCTGTGCCCCGCTGTTAGCACCTGTGACCCCGTTTTCAGGCGGCCGCCTCCTCAGGCTCAACATGGATGAGCGCTGTGCCCGCCACGGTCAGGGGCTTGATCTTCTCCCTCAAGGACCAATTCTGCCCCCCAGGGGTGACTGTGCAACTCCCTGCTCTGACAGTAAACCGAGGCGCGTGCTTCCTGGCCTGAAAATCAGAGTCGGAGGACAAAGGCATTTAGATGCGCGCCACGCTCTGGGAAACAGGCACATGTTATCTGTGAACAGCGATGCACAGGGCAAAGCTGTCCTTCCTAACGAGAAGCTCAGGCGCTTCTGCTGAGCAGGCACCACGGAGGTGCCGCTGTCCCGACAGCCCGGCCTCCCTTCTCTGAGGCTGGCACTCAACACTGTGGCGACCTGTCTGAAGACGCACTGGGCTCAACACCACTGGGCTCAACACCGCTGGATGCACTGGGGTCCAGCACAGCACTGCCCAGCCACATGGCCACAGTCACGGCACCTGGGCAAGTGCAGGCGAGAGGACGAGGCTCGATCTCCCGTCTAAACCTGCGAGACGGGGGAAGCCGCTCGCCCGCAGCTGGTGACAACCAGAGCCACAGGTTTCAGAGTGAACCAGGGAACTGCCGCAGGAAGGGACCCTGCATGCACTAGCCGTCCTCAGGGAGAGGTGGGGAGAGAGCATTTAAAGCACAGGTTAGAGCGGTTGCGCTCAGGTTGTAGGGGGGACGCTGCAGACATCGTAGAAACGCTGCCAAGTGTGACGATGTTCACTGTGTGTCAAGCTCCAACGTGCCCACCACACCCTTTTAAGCAGCTTCATAAAACCCGAACATCTCCACCAAACTCACCAGGTTCTTGAAAATTCTCTAAAAGTGAATGCAGTTGGCTGTGTAACTTTAGCTGTTAAAGGCACACTTTGAGGTAAATCAGGAGTTAATAAAAAGACTACTTCTGAGAAATGTATTTTGATTCTTACATCTATAATGCCATAAAGGTTAAATTGTATTCAAACAATACTTGTTTTGGATAACCCAAACATTTTTTCACATTTATAAATAAATCATTTTCCTAAAGTCAATTTTATCTCTGGTTAACTGACTGAACTAAAATTACTCACTGTAGTCAGATGAATAACCTTCGTACTTTAAATTTTTCCCTATTAACTTACTAGCACATTCCAGAACTTGCTGTGCACAACCACAGAGTTCGGACAATAAGCCACTCTTAAGATACTCAGTTACAGCTATGGGAACACAGAGTTACAAGTTCAGAGCCAATGCCACCAATGTGAACATCAGAGCCACACAGAAACCTCCCTACCACCAACACTCACACAGATGCACAAACACGCACACACACCCCAGCGTGAAATTTAATCACATGTCAGGGCAAGTCACTCAATAACAGCTATCTTCACACAGTCAAGTGACAAGCATACATACCTCCTGAGAATACAAAATGAATTTTAAAAAGAGTGAAACATGTTGGCCACTTGACATAATTTGTGATCCCACCTGAAAAAAACTTCTGGGAGCAGCGGGTGGGAGCACCGAGGTGCACTACCACAGATCTTACTGTTTTTATTACAGTAAGTATGAGGATGTTAAATAAAACACATCAGCAAAATCGAAGGGACAAAAGTTTCCTAGCATGGTTCCAGGAGGCAAAGGCCTAGCTGTAATATCAAGTTTCACAGAGCCAAGTGGCGGTCGCCCAAGCTCTTTTACATTTTTATACAGTCCACAGACAGCGACTTCAAATCAGCTTTGCCGTTCCGTGGTTTCTACAAATTTCCACTTACAATTCCTGTGGTGTTGTGAGCAATGGTGGAGACAATAGCACTTCACCAGAAGTGGATCCACAGTGTGCCAGTCAAGACAATTATTATGATTTCTGAAAAGAGAGCTATAGTGGGGTGTAGTTCACACACAAAAAAGCAACTGGCAGCTCCACGGGCTGACGGCAGAGGGGGCCTCAAGTGGTGAGGGTCCCCATGGGCTCAAGCGTGACGGGGGAAGGGCCACGCCTTGAGGCCCAGTGCTGGTTTCTCGGGGTACCTGAGAGTGGCCCGTGACCTCGCCACCATGAGACTCATCTCAGAGCCCACCAGGTTCAGCCGGTCCCAAGCACTGCACGTCTCACCACCACTCCTCACTGTCCCTGGTTCCCAAGGCCAGGGCTGACCTCTCGGGCTACAAACCGCCTCTTGTTATAGAAGAGGGCTCCGTTTTATTTTTCAGTTGTCAGTTCACTGGGCTATTGCCTCAGCCCACCCAGCTCAGCTACTAACCTCGGGTTCTGGGTATGGTCCACACCCCACACGTGACCTGCTCCGGGTCAGGAGAGACCCCGAGGACTGTGCTTCCAAAATCCCTGTGCCCCCTCCTGGGCGACACAAAGCCTAGGCTCCCCTAGGAAACTAGTCCCACTGCTAGTACTTATTTTCAGAAGCAAGGCAATTCAGAATTAAAATTTAATAATAAATAGATTACAAAACGGAGAGTCTATTTAAGGTAAAAAACCAACAGCTACAGGAGGAGGAAAGAAGGGCAACACAGTGGCTCCTTCCTGACGGATCACTGGTATGAACGGCCCGTTCTGAATGCTGGTGTCCAAAGAGGCTGCAGTTGCGCACGCAGTTACACACACGTCCCGATGTGTCAGCACTGTTTGAAGTGCTTCGTGTGTACTTATGCAGACACGTATACACAGCTAAGACTCAAAAGCCACGAGGGACGGACGACTACCACTCCCGTTTCACGGAGGACAGCCCTGAGCCCAGGAACGCCAAGGAACTTTCCCAGCGCCCCGGAGCTCTGTGCGCGGGGCCAGGGTGCACATCCAAGGGTCTCTGAGGCCTCTCAACCACCTCACATCCTCGTTAGACAGTTTTCCGAGATGGACCGGGAGCCCATGCACGAGCCCGTTCAGAATTTCATAAATGCTCTCAGTCCTCCAGAAAGCAAAGTTTAACAAAGGCTTCAGGTTAATCATTTCAGAAGGCAATATACACACAGCTACACAGGATACTTAATAAATAAACGTCAGGTAAAAATCAGGCACAATGAAAACTGTTCAGTGAGTTACACAAATAAAAACTTACTTTTTTTGAAGTTTACGATTTTTTTCGGCCTGTCCTCCCAATTTGCTGAGTCCCAAGGCATCTTGAGATGAGTTTTCTGTCTCTGAAACACCGGCTATGAGGAAGCAGAGTGGGTGAAGATACTGAAAGAAAGTTCACCATGGTCAAGCTAGGTGTTCCCACAGACAGGTGGCAGAGTGTTTGCAGAGAGAGTGAAAAGACTCTACAGACTGAGCCTCTAACCGGACAAGCCACACGCGAAGGTGCTCGAGACGGCAAGCTCTTGTACGCACGAGGCCGTTACTGAGGGCGGACGACGGCTACCCATGGCTCTTCAGGTCCCACGTGCGCCCACTGAGAATGGCTTCCGCCCGACAACACCCAGCGGTGTGACAGGCCCCAGCGGGAAGGACAGGGGGCATACAGCAGGCACGCTCATGGCCGTCCCCCTCGCCCCACCCAACGGTTAAGAAGTTTTCCGGAAGCACCAACCTTGTCCCAACACCTCCTTGCCGCCGAGCCCAGGGCGGCCCTTTTCTTTCTTGCCAAACAAGCGGCCGATGGAGGACTTGATGCCCTTCTTCTTGGGGGCTTTGTGGAGCGAGTCCTGGCTGCTGTTGCTGCTGCTGGGGTTGCTCACCGGGCCATCCTGGGAGCCTGTCGAGCTTTAGGACAAAAAGGACCTTTAACACGCGCCCTCATCACAAGATGTTTCATTCCCATGAACTAGAAATCTGCATGTTTTTAACACCCGCTCTTAAAACTTCACCACAAACATTCCAAATCTCCTCTATGGCACCTTCATCACCAAACGCATGCGTGAGAAACGTGGGCTCCCAGTGACACCACCGGAGTAGTGTTTCTAGGAGGCTGAGGTTCTGTCTGATTTGGGGTCTCCTTCCGAGGAAGGCCCTGACTTCAAACCCTGCCGCAGAGGGCACTACTGACCCACCTTAGGGTCCCCTCTCAGCCAGTGAAGATGCGCCCACAAAACCGGAGTTCCCCTCTCTCAGAAGCTCTGACAACCCCCCGCCGCCGAGGGTGATTGTCCTCGGCCTGGCAGTGAGCACGAGTAGCTAGCTGCAGGGTGGCTGTCACGGTGAACGCAGTGCCCCCAGACCACTGCCTGGTACACAACAAACAAAACAGGAGGCAGTTCCGGAAAGGACAGCATTAGGAACAGAAGGGTTGGCGGGCTTCCTGGAGGAGGCACACTGAGCATCAAGGATGTGGAGCGCTCAGCAGCTCCAAGGCACATGGGGGCACCCGAGCGGCACAGACTGGCCCATAGGGATGCAATCATCGGAAACATGCCATGCATTTGGCAAATGCTCCATCAAGAACAGAAACTAAGTTCTCAAATAGTCAATCTGTGAAATCAGAAGAAATGACTGTTTTTCTAAAACTGCTGATATTATTTAACTCCTTTCTTTCCAAATTGACTTTGCTCAGACATGCATCTTCTGCTGGATTTTGCTGTGGCTCCAGGGCAGTGGCTGGCATCCCAAAAATGTCATTTATATAAACGCAAATGAATTAAAATTTCTTTTATTTCTTTAAAATTATTGTTTTGACTTTTTTTCAAGAAAAGGTGACTGGATTCCCTAAAGCTGACAATGAAAAGACAAGCGCGTTCTAAGTGGGGTTACTGGCCCCGCGCCACCAGTCCTTACTTTCTGACGTCCCTGACATCCTCATGGCTGGCCGTGTGCAGCGCCCCTTTGTGCAGCCTGTCCAATCGAAGGGACCTCGGGGAGGGCGGGGGAGAGGTTTCACATTTGATCGTTGTCTTGTCATCTCGTACCTCTTCTCGGGAAGCTGGCAACTGAGGGGTTGAGAGAGTGTAAAAGTATTTAACAGTAAACTTGACAAAAACAAAAACAATCACACAGACTTTCAATCACAACCACAAACTTTTCTGAAACCTATCAGCTATGCTGTGCCAAGCACACGACGTGTTTGGTCCCATGCGCTTTCATAGGGTGCCTTGGTTAGGACACGCAGGACCACGGGGCAGGCCAAGCACAGCGCAGAGCCCGGCTCCTAGGCTGCCTGGGCAGGACTCAGGGTTGCTCCTCTTCCTGGGTGTCCCCGCAACCAAGGGGTCGCCCTCCCTGGAGTCCTAGGACCCCGTGAGGAACGCCACTGAGGGAGCAGCAGACATCCGCACATGGCCTACAGGCTGCAGGCGGCACATGCGCTCCTGACAATGAGTGGGGGAGGAAGGTGTGGACGTCCCAGTGCCATTCAAAACAAACAGCAGTGAAGACAGAACCTTACTGGCACAACTGTCCAGGCCTTTCAGTCTGAGGGGAGGGGGAGAAACAGCTGTACCTCGATCCAGTGTCATCTTTAATAATGACGCAAATTACTGGGATCTATAACAACAGTTAAAAGGTGGAAAGGCGGCTGACCTGCACCCCAAGCCCGCACGGCTGACTGGTGTCTCTCGATCGCATTTAGTTAGATGGGGTGTCAGAAACTGAAGTCTCAGATGCGGTTTAAAAACATCGTGCTCACTACACTTAAACTAATCCCAGGTTTTTGTGAAAAGATGACCTCTGGGGCCCTCAGCTTGTCTGCAAGGATGAGAGGATGGGGAACAGACGAACCCCTTCCACGCTTGCTTGCAAACTGGGGTTCTGCCATTCGGGCAGGGCTGGGTTTCATGAGACATGCACGGCCAGCGTTTGTGGGAACCATGAGGCTTAGCAGCCCACTTGTGCCTTTTCAGCGGGATGCTGTACGGAGGACCAAGCCACTGTGGGGCCACAGCCAATTCGTGTAAAATGGAGCTGAACTCATTCAAGACAGACCCTTCAGCAATAGCTAGATAACTGCATCATCTCCTGACTGCCACTTGCAATCGTCAACTAAAGGCTGTAACGGCCAGAAATGATCAATATGAAACTTAGGGACAGATTCAAATTCAGGTTGAAACAATGATTTGTAAAAAACACCCAAACCAGGGCCCGCCAAGTGGCACATTGGTTAAGAGTTGGCTTGGGAGTGTGAGCTCCGAGCACAGGGCCTCGGTTCGGATCCCACATGGGGGCCAGTGACACCGCCCTCTACAGCTAAGATGCTGAACAACAGCTCAACCTGGAGCTTGACTGCCGTGAGCCGCCGGCAATGCCATAGGCTGCAGTGGACTGCCGTGAGCTACGTGAGTGGCCGGTAGCCAGCGTGAGCCACCGTCGAGTGGCCAACAACCAATCTGCCTCAGCTGGGAAGAATGCAATGATAATACCAACATAGACCAGTGAAGCGACGTCCTCCACAACTAGACTGAGGAACAAGACGACAGCAACTTGTCTGTTCCCCTTCCACGATTCCCCAATAAAATCTTTAAAAATCAAAACAAAACAAAAACCCCAAACCAAATAAAAAAGGACAGGGTCGGGGAGTGACAGCTGTGCCTGAAGGGACTATGAACTCATTGGAGACGAGCAGCTCCCAGAGCCGAGGTCCTCCCTGTTCAAAGGCCCCCGGGCCCGCCCACCCCCGGCCTGCGTTCCTCCAGGAAGGCACACCCCACCCAGACGTGTGCCTACATGCCATTCCAGACTCCACTAGGCGGGAGCTGCATGAGGCTGGAAGCCGTCTGGGCGTACAGCCATGACAACGGGGAGAAGCAGGGCGAGAGCGCACGCACACGCTGGCAGTGTCTGCACAGACGCCTGGTTTCATCCTCAAGCCACCCTGAGCAAGGCCCGCAAAGAGCCTGTCGGCGAGCTCAGGTCCCGCCAGCAACAGGACCAGGCTGTCCTGCGGGTGGAAAGCCACCCCCGACTTCCTTCACTGAGGAAGTCTGGCAACAAGGACAACGCAAACACAAGCCCGCAGGACGAGGGTGCTGTGCCATCGCCGGTGAAGGCCCCTCACACCTCCTTGGGGACCGGGCCATGGCCCCGAGAAGCGCAGTTCTATTCGTGTTTTCACCTCACCGGAGGGCAAGCCAGGGCACCAGAGGGCGAGCAGCACACCCAGGTGACAGAGCAATCAGTGACCGTGCTGGGCCTCGAGCCCAAGTTTGGCTACACGGCCATACTGCTCTGGGCCGGAGGGACCAGCTCACATGCGCTGAGCCGCTTTGGGCAGCACAGCTCCCTGACTAGGGCACACCAGGAAGCTGGGATGGGGCCCAGCCTGCACCGGGCCGTGGAAGTTACAAGGAAGACACTTTGGTCAACAGCTCTGTTTCCTAACGCACTGTCTTTCCTCTGAGAAGGGGTGGGGGTGGTTCCTGGTCATCTTGAAGGAGAAGAGGCCCTGACCCCCTCCCTCTGGCAGGGATGCTGGAAGGGCACTAGGAACACCTGGAGGAAAGACAGGTGGGTGGGGAAGTGGCTACACGTCTGGGATTGGAAACTAGTCAGGCCTGTATTGCACTGTTTACTGGCTGCAACCGCGGGCACAGAGTGTGGCTCTCTAAGCCCTTTTCCACATCTGTAAAATGGGATGTTTGAGGGTGTTTGAGGATCAGACGACATTCATAAAGCACTCAGCACAGTGCCTGGCATGTGGCCAGAGCTCACAAATGCTGCCAGCTATGAGTGTGAAAATTGGAGCTTTCCAAATCTAAAATCTATGGCTTTGCCTCCATAATTCTGCATTTTTGCAGTTACTATGTCTATTGTAATAAGAATGCAATGATTAGAAGGCACAGAGGTGGGAGAAAAGCAAACTCATGCTTGTCCCAGTGTTCTGTGCAAACCACCAACGGCCCATTTCCAGCAGGACAACTGGTGTTCTGACATGCCAGATGCGTTCCAACACTTCCACCAAAACGTCAATTACTCGTCATCACATAGCTTCACAGCATCCATTTACATAAAATGACAAGGACTCTTCAATACTTCACAAAGAAACAAAGGTGCATTAAATTACTAAAGTTTACCTTTCTACGATGTTTCCTTAAGTCACTAGGCTGATAGATGCATGCAAAGAAATGAAGAGAAACCAGATTTACTGCACATTTTGTAGGTAAAAATTCAACAGTCAGTATAGGCAAATATGTTAAAAAGAGAATGATAGGGCACATATACATGAGGCAAGATTTAGAAAAAACATCACTGGAAATAAAACTTTTTTTCACCACAAAATTTAAACATAAGTTATTCAAGATTTACTAGAGAACCACTACAAATTATTACTCAGGGAGATAAAATTATATTACAACATATACGATTTATTAAAACAAGGCATTCTATATAACAAAGGGCCCTAATAGTTGTCTATTCTAAGCCAAACCTCTCTATTACTTAGTTTTCCTTAGTGGAAAACATATTATACCTTAAAATATCAATCTAATTGATGAGGACATCATTGCAATACCTATTATAAAACGGAACAAACCTCCTTTTGGTTAATCACCTATTGGACATTAATGTAAAATCCTTACTTAGAATTTGATTTAATCTTCTCAAAAAAAATTTATTGATTAAAGCAGGGTACCCTGTGAAAATATGTAAGAATAAAAGCTAGCAGTACACCTGAAACTAATATAAAATAATGCTGGATGTCAACTGTAATTGAAAAATTTAAAAAAAAAAAGAAAAAGAATAAAAGCCACCATGATAGCAGGTGGAATCTTTACATTCTATAATTTACATGAAATTTTAATTAAAATAGTCTATGAAAGGCATTAATTATGCATGTTCAGTAAGTTGACGAGATTTATGGTCCTGAATATAAACATGAAAACCAGAAGGTACATTGTCTGTGTCAAGACGCCACTAATTCCACACTGAGCAGGCTGCTTCTTCATGCAAGAAGCCTCTCATTAGGAGTTGCACACATCCTACATCCTTTTGAGTAAAGCCACTCTGATCCATCTACAGCATACCCGTACCCACATATGTCTACGCTACAGTGATGCGCTAAAATGTATCGTTCTTCCATGAGAAATGTAGCTAAAGCAGAAACCCTTCTGAGCTGTGAGGGCGCGCACACGCGTGCGCACACACACGCACACACACCACCACCACCACCACCACCACCACCACCACCACCACCACCGATGCTGCTACCTGAGTGTGCTGTGGAGGGGTGTGAAATGTGGGTGGAGAGGGGAGGGGAGCTGGACGGATAAGCTACAGACTGGGGGGACTGGGGTCTGGAGTAACAATGACTAAACAAACAAAAGGATGACATAGGAAATCAAAACCAAATGAGGATGCAGGCCCGCTGTCAGCCAGCGTGCAGAATCACACCACCAAGGGAAAAACATACAGAGCTGTTTTTCACAAACCCTCTGAAGGAAATTAGCATGAAACCACAAATGAAACAGTTTAAAATATTAGGTATTAGCTAATGATGTACGTCATAAAAAAGAAATGTCAAATACCTCAACATGGGCCAGTTACCACTTCATATGCCACTCAGATGATTCACAGTTGATTTAATTATATGCTGGCTAACGATGCAAGTAAAAATGAAAACGGATGGTAACAGGAAAAATTATAACACAAGTGCAGTTCAAAAGCAGAATGTTTTCAGTGTGTGTGTGAAGCAATGCTCTCATGAAGCCTAAACTAAATCCATGAGCGAGTTATAAAACATTCTTCCGAGCTGCACACTGGGTCACTGCATTTCCCGATGCTTCCCTAGGCAGCCGCAAAGCAACTTGGCTTTTAAGCGACGTAATCCTGGTTTCACACGCAGAGCTGTGCTAAGCGGGCCACGGAGTGTGCCATCAGGAGGCCCCGTTGAGCTTCATTGTTTTGGTTTTTGATGCAGGTCCTGAACCCCCCAATTAGGCATCCACAGTGTAAAGGAAGACGGCATCGACAGCATTTTTCTACGTGCTAGGAAGGCTACCTGTATGTACTTTTGTTAAGCTGCCTATTCCTAGGAAACAAACATATTTCCCCCACTGGCTGCCCATGCCCAACGTTACACAAGTAAGAACTTCTGATGAATTCATCATGACGTGCTAAACTGGTCCTCCAAATATTAAAATTAATATGCCACTGTGCTATTATTGAACGATTAAATACTTGCTGGCTTTCAAAATCTTGAACCTCTGAGCTTAACAAGTGCAAAGCAAAGTCCCTGGTTTCTTCTGGGTGAAAAAGAAAAAAAGCACACTCGTACAGTCCAGGACTTAACCCGGCTGTGCCGGGGGAAGGGGAGGGCAGGGAGGAAAAGCCAGTACTTACTAGAGTCATGATACCTAGTCTGTCCACCTCCCGAGCTGGGCTGTGTGGGATCCTCCGTGGGGTGGAACGCCCGCTGTTTGGAGGGGAGGAGCCAGCAAGCGAGGATGCAGGATACGGGGGAATAGAGCTCATTGATCTAAAACGACCAAGGTTGTCTAAGCTTCCACTGCCAACTCGACTTTCAATCTCCTCGGCCCGCTGCTCGGCGTTCTCCTTCTCTTCCTGTATCAACCTGAAACAAACAAGGCCCCCCTTTCTTTATCAGCAGATGCAGTGATGTGTCTGAATAAAAAGTCTGTGCAGTGTTCTGTATTACAGTAAGTAAACTCCAATAACGTCTGATCAAGCCATGAACACTTCAGCAAAAATGTTCTGCTTTTTATCTTTTCAATATGTTCAATTTTAGAACAACATGAAAGAAATCTTCCACTGATTTTTACAGGGTTGCTTCTGATGACTTGTGTCTGATTTTTCTTATTGACGCTGTAATTCCAACGGGCTGGGTGGCCGCTCTCTCACTGCACAATGAGACACTGAATTTCTTAGCTCTTATGTCCCCTATTCTTACAGTGAAGCTGCACATTTCTCTCTCAATTTTTCAACTGGAAACCAGGAACTCAGACACAAAGAATCAATCCACAAAGCAATCAGGAGTCCCCAAACATGTAAGTCTCTAGACTAGATGGAAGTGTTGAGTTGCCTTTTTTAAGGATGAATTCGAACGGAAGTTATCAGCTGATGGAATCCTCTCCCAGCCTCATCTGCAGTCCTGGCTTCGTGTGGACCATGCCCCTTCATTTGGAATTCAAGATTAGCGCCCTTCTCCCTTACTGGGCAGTTTTAGTATGTGACTACGCAAATAGTTATTCTAATATTAAAATACAGGACACTTGTAGTAATCTTCCTAATTAAAGTCCCACTTACATATCCTGAAAGTATCTCTTTGTTACTGATTCAGTGGACAGAATTTACCGTTTACATCCGGCCTACTTGTTGCATAAAGAAACATCACTTGTACCTAACAATACGCTGTGAAAGAGAAAAGCTGAAGTAAGGAATCTTTGCCCACTTCCCACAATGAGGGGCAAGGTCAGTATTCGGAGCTCTTCCGTGTTTGACCACGGCCCGTGAGCAGTCAGTTTATAAATACAGCCAGAGAGGTAGGCAGCACCACCTGCTTTGCACTTCAAGCCCACAGCTCTTTTTGACGTTGGTTCTAATCCTCCCGCTTCCCCTCCGGCCTTTGCTAACTTGACAGTAATCAGATTTGGGCAGCAGCTCTGCCCGGACCCACTGAGGTCACTGGCATGTGATTGGTCTTTAGTGGCCTCAGGCCAGGGGTGGCACAGAGAGGGCCGCAGGGCACCCGCTAATCACCACCTGGGCTATTCCTTGGATTCCATCCCCCAGCTGGCCCCTCGTTTTGTAGAAAACACCTTTAAAATGTTGATGAGGCAAAAAAGATTCAAACACACATCCGTTGCCCACTCACAGTCCTACAATGAACCAACTTCCACCTGTGACGTAATTTAATACAGTGAAATACAAGTGTGACCAGGAACTGTCCGGCCAGAAAACAGTTTTCCCCCCCAGGTGGCCGTGGGACACACCTGAACATGTGAGGCTCTGAAGGACGCACGCCAGCCCTCTTCAGGGCCGGGGCATGACCGGGCAGCAGTTGCACCCCACCTCAGCACCTCACCCACTCTGGGGCTCAGGGCTGGGGGACACTCAGGCCGGCAGGGGGCTGACAAGGCGCCCTTCCCATCGCTTCCCACTGACACTCGCGCCTCTCTTGCCCACGGGCTGAGCTGACACCTCGCCTAGTGAGTCACTGGAATCCTGGGCTTCTCGCCCCTAAGCGCGCGGCCAGGGGAGGGGTGGGTGCTGCTGGGAGGCGCCCGGCCCACACACACCTCCCCGCTGCTTCCCGGATTAGGGAGGCGCCCTCCTGTGCATTCTCAGCTCCCTGCAGCCCCGCCGCTTCACCGCCGGAAGCCCCGTCTGCTCCAGGCAGCGGCACAGGTGGGCACAGGCGAGCTGCCAATAGCTCTCTGGGGAGCGGACGGAATACCTGCCACCCCTCCACGAACGTGCTGAGACCACAGCTGTGGAGAGAATGCCCCGGCTGACCGAATTTGATAACCAAGGGCAATTTCAGGGCTTCAAATTCTTAAAAGTAAGTTACTATTTATTCTAGAACATTTAGGAAACATTCATCGTATGTGCTCCAGATGTTTCTAAGTGGTACACAGTTCCTCAGAGACACCCCCATCTCCGGTGCTGTCTGTACAATCACGCGTACCTGATCTCTTTGTTGATGGCGTCCAGCTGCTCCTGAAGCATCATGGCCAGCGTCTGGGCATCAGCCTGCCCGCTGGGCGACAAGAGAGCAGTTGAGCTGAAGAGAGGGTCCCTGTCATCCTCGCCATCAGACACGTCGACATCACTCTCAAATGCTTGTGCCACGTTTGCCAGGACACTGGCTTGCTGGGCCCGTTCCCAGTCCTGCTCATTGAGAGTCTGTACCTATAAACGAGAAAAACGCATCTCAGCAGAGCCGGAAAAGAACAGCCCTCATTAAAGCAACATAGAAGAAACCTATCAGAAGCTTAAAAAAACGTTAAGTGGAAGCCCACAGAATTTGTAAAAATGGGTCATGCTTGCATGCTGCTGGCGTCTATTAAGCAAGCAGTATTTAAGAAATGGGAGGGGCCGGCCGAGTGGCACGGTGGTTAAGAGTTGGCTTGGGACGCCAGCTCTGAGCAGCAGGGCCCCGGGTTCGGATCCCACATGAGGGCCAGTGATGCTGCGCCCTCTACAGCTAAGATGGTGAACAACAGCTCGACCTGGAGATGGGCTGCTGTGAGTTGCCGCCAACAGTGTAGGCTGCAGCCCCTGCTGCAGTGAGCTGCCAGCAGCCGCTGTGAGCGGCCGTCCAGAGGCTGGCGGCCGATCTGCCTCAGCTGGGAAGAGCGCAATGATAATACCAACATGGCCAGTGAAGCGACGTCCCCCACAACTAGACTGAAGAACAAAAGGACAGCAACTTGTCTGTTTCCTTTCCCCGATTCTCCAGCGCTGTTTCCCTCCCCCGATTCCCCAATAAAATCTTTAAAAAATAAATAAATAAAAGAAACGGGAGGAGACACATCTGTTAGACTGCCCGTGACAGTCACGTCTCAATGTGATGTGAGGCATTTCTATGACGTTACACACAATGGGCACACGACCGAGTCAGAAACACCAACTGAAAATGAAGAACTACAGTCATGCCACAACCAGCCATGCTGATGGGGAGCGAAAGAACTCCCTTGGTTCAGAGCTGCTGGGCTCACCTGAGCGGCCATGACACCTACTGGTGTTCTAAGTTCTAAGCAATATACAACTCGAGTTACTGCGTGGCCCAGGCTCCCTTTTCTGCGGCTGGTACCACTAAGCACAGACAGAAGCAAGAAGGGGCAGCCGAGCCAGACGGGGCAGCAGGCCCTTCTGATGGCCCACTCGGTGCCGGGGAATGGCCAAATTTTCTGGGAAGTGCTGCTTACGGAGCACATGTGCCTTGACGCTGAGCCAAAGCCTACTGGGAACGCCAGAAGCACAGCGTTTATAATTGTGCGCGTGTTGGGGGTTCTGGGATCCCTCCTACGTGTTCATTTCACGCCCCACCCCCACCCCAGCGAGGGTCCTGCCTCCCAGCTCACTGTGGTGCCATCAGAGCAGCCAGCAGGGAGCACTTCTAGATGCCTGAACACCTGTGTGCCCGTGCTGGCCCCACCTAAGGCTCGCCCCTGCGGCTTACTCCAGGATCTCCCACCACTCCTCCCTCTCGGATAATCCGTTTTCTACTGGTTCATTCCCATCACCTAAGAATGCTTTCTCCCTTCTCCCGCCTTGAAACAGTACAAGAGCAACCACAAAACTTTACGCCACGTCTCCTTCCAGCTACCACTGCATTTCTGTTCCCAATTAGAGCCCAAGCTCTCCAAGAAGCTGCCTCTATTTTCTCCATGTCCCTTCCTCCCAATCTCTCAAACCTGCTGCCAGTAGGCTCTGCACAGTCGTCCCTCCAGCAGAACCACTCTGAGCACACCACTGTCCCTGACCTTTGCCTTGTCTGGCCCTCTGACGGGCTCTCCCCTCTTCTACCTCGCTCACTTGGCTCCAAGCCCCCTGCTCCAGGTTTCCTCTTACCTCACTCCTTGGGCTCCTGCTGTCCCTTGTCAACCTCCACCCTCTGAAAACTGCAGTGTCCCACAGCTCTATCCTCACCTCTACCAACAGGCACCCACTTGGTGCCTTTGCCTTGTCCCCTTACATACATCTGTATGCTCACGACCCCAAGCCTTTCTCCAGCGGAGACTTCTGTCTTGGGTCCAAGCTGGGACACCTAGCCGTCTACCTGACAGTCGCCTTGGCCATCTGACAGGCCTGCCAACCTGCACAGGACCAAGGCCCAGCTCCGTCTCCCCCCACCCTGCAGCGTTCCCCATCCCAGGAGACAGAGCCCATCCTTCGGCGGCTCACGCTGAGCTCTGCAGTCCTCACCCGCCCTACCCATCGGCGCATCCTGCCGACACAACCTTGCGTCTCCCTATGGCCACTTCTCTTCCCTCCTTCAGGTCTCTGCTCGAATGTCAGCCTCCTGGTGATACCTCACTGGCTACCCTATTTAAATTTATTATTCCCCTCTTCCTGGTACAACTCAGGGTACCCCGAGTTTCCTTTCCCTGCTTCTCACCACCTGACATACTGTGGTGGTTGAAAATACGTCCACTACTCCTCCCTTTGAGAATGGGACAGTAATTCCTCCCCACCCACTTGGGGGGGCAGGACTTAGTAATTCTCCCTAAGAGATAATGTGAAGGGGCGCAGTGTCCAAGGCCAGAGCGTCTCAGGCTCCGGGGCCCTCTCCTTGCTCTCTCACAATCAGTTCTGAGGGCACCTGCCACCGGGTTGTGAAGACACTTACACGGAAGGAACGAAGCCCTCTAGCCCACTGCCCGGTGAGCGAGCTTGCCAGCGCACCCTCCAGCCAGCTGAGCCTTCCGAGGGCTGCAGCCCAGGAGGCCCCGAGGCAGAATCACCTGCCGACAGGCTCCCGGCTCCTACGGTCACAGAACTGTGAGGTAGTAACGTTCATCATTAAGCCATTAAGCTTGGTAGTAACGTGTTGCCATAGCAATGGGTAATTACCACACATACCTATTTTGCTTTGCACTCACTACTTTCTCTCATCACGGTGATGTGTGCACTGGGGTGCAGGCATTCTGTCTGCTTTTTATTTACTGCTGTAGCCTCTTGGGTTTAATGATGCCTGGCCCAAACTACTTGGTCAATGAATACAGGAGTTCACGATATAGAAGAGTATATACAAACATATGCTGTTAAATAGACACAAATATGACAGTACTTAAACTTCCACATGTGAATTCTTTTCAATGAAAGATGAATTCTGTTGACCCTTGAACAACACGGGGGTTAGGGACCCCTGAGAAGTAAAAAATCAGCGTATGACTTTTCACCTATTAGTTCAGTCTACTGTTGACTGAAGCCTTACTGATAAAACAAACAGTCGATTAAGACATATTCCATATGTTATATGTAAGTTAGGGAAAAGAAAATGTCCTTGAGAAAATCAGAAGGCAAACACACTTACAGCCCTGTACGTATTCATCACTACCTTAAGTTTATGTGACCTGTTCACAAGCTGAAAAATCCCACTATAACGTGGGCCTGCGCAGTTCACACCTGTGTTGGTCAAGGTCAGCTGTACGTATTCACTTACTCTTAATACTTCAAAACTGTACTCATTAGCACTGTGCTGTGCTTAAGAGGTCATATTTTATCAGAATTCCCATTCTTAAAAAAAAGAAAGAAAAAAGCACACTCTAAAACAAAACTCTTAGCCAGAGAAAGGAAAATAGGGGAAGGGAAACAGAGACAGAGCGACCTATCAGCACTTTCATTCCAAACCAGTGGCACACAGGGGTGGTGGGGCAGGTGCAGGCCAGGGAGGCCGGGGAGGCCAGTGCCAGCCTGGGAGGCCAGGGAGGCCAGGGAGGTGGGGAGGCCAGTGCCAGCCAGGGAGGCCAGGGAGGCGGGGAGGCCAGGGAGGCCCTTACCTTGGAAGGCTCATCTCGCAGCGCTGCCAGGCGGCCTTTCTGGGGGCGCCGTAACACCGCGCTGCTGCTGTAGGAATCTGTGGGACCGTCAGCCACGGGGAACCTGAAATCCGGGACACTGCCCAAGTGGGGTCGGCTGAAACACGGGGAAAAAAAAAAAAAAAAAAAGGTCATTATTAGAAGAAAAGTGAACGAACTTTGTTAGTCAAGCCAGAAAGCGTGCACTTGGGAGATAAATCATTTCATAGACAACTGTCTCCATGGGGGGCACATCTTTCACTCGCTACAACAGTAACACGCTGCCCACCTCCTGCCAACATTTACTGCTCCAGCCCCACCAGGAGGAAAACCAACGCGGATGCCACAGACATGAAGAGAAGATGGAGGCCAGCAGCTGAGGATCCAAGGAGAGCCGGAGCCATCTCAGAATTCTCCCTCCCTCAGGCCGAGTTCTCCTTGGCCAACCGGAAGCACACCGTCACGTCATTTCTGGCAGTCGCCTGCTCTGCAATTTCCCGGGTGCCTGGTCCCCATGCCCTCCATCTGGGAGGCCGCCCCAAGTGCACCTTAGAGGACCAGCTGCAGGAACCCTTGAACCACAGCTGGAGCTTATGGGAACTGATCTGGCCGCCTGCTTTCATGTTTCTGAACATCAGAAGCGCTGACCTGCGTGCATGCAGACTGACAGACAGACATCCTGGCTGAAGAAGTCTGCAGAACATGTGGTCGGGGCCCGAGCACCCACGACCGAAAGGCTGCAGTGAGCCGTTAGCAGTTCACCTCAGAAAAGGCCCTGCAGGGGAGCCGCCTCAGCCAAGGGCACACCCCGCACACCACCTGCAGACGGGACCAGAGTGACACACCGATTCACCTACTTCTGGTTCACACACCTCTACACTCTTTAGAGAGATGGCTTTCTGAAGTGCTGCATACGATTTACTACTTGTTTATAAGATACCAAAAAGTCCGGAATTTCCCTGTGACCACAACTGCGTTCTGCTTCCTCTATTCCCTCATGCCTAACGAGCCTGCTCAGTCTGTCTCAGCACGATTTGTAGCAGTGGCTTTGGGGCTGTGAGGCTTTTCAAAGTCAGATGAAAGCTACACCTACACCCAGCCCTGCGCCTCACTCTGGGGCTTCGTGGATTCTCTGAAGCCCACAAAGCCTCGTAATTCTGATACCTTTCTTTCCAGGCTTACTTTCCTCCCAACCCGGCTGCCGCTCTGCGGCTCGCCGTTTCTGGACCCGCAGCTCTTTTCTAGGGGCCCACTCTGCTTCTGGAAGCCCATCCATCAGCTTTCTTTCCACTCCTCCAGCGGGGCTACCTTTTCTGGCTGGAGAAGATCAGAAAACCAAGCTGACTGGCTGCACTGTGAAGTCATGCCACGGAAACTGAGCTCACCCGGCCTGCTGCTTCTCGTCCTGCCCACCCAATGCCCCCGCTCCCGCCCCATTTCTACGACTCCTAACGACGTCTCTTTTAAGCCCCTTGACATGAGACCTCTACATCTCATGGCTCCTTGACACAAACCCCTTCCTCTGTGCCCAGCCTCTTCTGCCCGCTGTCTTCAGACACACAGCCACGTGTGCCCTTGGCCATGACTGGTTCCCACACCGGCTCCCCTCTCTTCATTCCTCAAACTCCCCAAGGAGTAATATACACTGTCCGCTGTCCCTTCCTCCATTAATGGCAAATCAAATACACGTCTTATCTCCTTTAATTCCTCAGCGGGGGGCCTGCCTCTGCCACACTGACACTGGCCTTCACTGTCGATGGCCTTATTCAGCACGTCAGTGCTTTTGGTCCTGATTTGTCTCCACACTTCCCTCTCTGGAAACATCCAGTCTCTCCGTGAAGTTCTACCCTCGGGTTCCGAAGACCGGGCAAGTCCTGGCTCTGCGTGGCTGTGACTGTCCTCACTGGCCTCTCCTGTTTTTCAGCAGTAGGTGCAGTAGGGACAGCCCCAGGGTGCCCCAGGCCTTCCCGATGCCCTAAGCTGCAAACGCGCAGGCTCCGAGCTTCCTCCTAAATGCTGTTTCCAGCAGGACCCGTTTTGCTGCAGCCTCACGAATGTCAGCGTCTCCAGTTAACCAGGAAATAACTTCTGCTAAAGTTTAACTCCCACTTGATGACCAGTTGCCAAAAAGAAGCAAAAGAAGATTTTAAACCCTTAATGGAAATCACTGCCTGTGTAACAATGAGGAAGAAAAAACTCCGGATGCCAGGCCACATGCTCGAGTCCTTCACAGGCCAGGTGTTCACTCCCACAGCAGCCAACTCAGTCATGTTTCAATAGATTTTAAAATGACTACATGTCATTAAGCTTCAGTCTCTTAAAAAATATAAAAAAGCACAAGTACTGCACTGAACACACAGGTTTCAGGGACTCCCTCCCATTCTAGCTGTGCAGCTGCAACCTTGGTGCTCTCACCATCCTGTGGATGGGACTGTCACTCCCAGGTACATGAAGCATCACCTGGCGCCTTGGGCTCTGTCCTCCTTTCTTACACCATCAGTCCCTCAGTGCACATACCCAACCATGACCTGGTCACCCCACCTTCCAAACCTCCTCCTGTGTTTTGGGTTCTGTCGCTGACATGACTCCCACTCTCCGAGGTACCAAACTTGACCTCTGGTGACGTACTCTGCCCTCTTGCCTGCTGGTAAGGTATAAGCTCCTTGGGGCCAGACCATGAGCTATATCCAGTGACACTGCCCACAGGCCAAGGACATGCCCTTGTGCACACATGGCAGGTGCCGAGACGGACTGGTCACTGGTGAATGTCATACCCGTGGTGAAGGGAAGCACCTCTTAGCCTCATCTGGTCCAGTTCAGCCCTCAAATCTTCGATGGTTAGTACGAGCCGATCCTACAAAACAGCAAATGACATACAGTGCAGCTATCTCAGGATTAGAATCATTCACGTCAAACGTGTTCATGTGTTGAACCTCGCCGTAATGGGTTAAATTAGCAGTTATAAATACCAAATGGTTTAATTCTGAGAAAATTTTCTCTAGGAGTCCTAAACATAAACACTCAGACCAGCAGATTAACTTTATAAGCCCTGATCATAAAAAGACACGTCTCAGTCACAGAACAGTTTTCGGAGGAGTAACACCGAGCCACTAACTGATAAATCTGTAAGGAGGAACAGAGCTTTGGGGGTGTGGGCGGTGCTCACTTTCCCCGGCATGCCTCTCTGCACTATCTCGCATCCAGCACACACTCACTCACGTGCTGTTTGGACGCTCCACCTCATTCCTGTCACAGCACATCAGTAAGTAAGACTGACAAAAGCTTGTAAAGTCACCCAGTAGCCTCGGGACCTGTGCTGGCCCATACAGTAGCTGCTGGCCACGTGTGGCTGCTTAGCACTCGAAACGGGGCTGCTCCAAACTGAGATGTGCTGCAACTGTAGAATTCACGGTGGGTTTCCAAGATTTAGTATGAAAAAAAGACTGTAAAGTAGCTCATTCATTTTTATATTAATTACATGGCAAACCAACGTTCTGACTACACTGGGTTAAATAAAATTAAGTTTTCACGTGTTTCTTTTTACTGTTTTAAATGTGGCTACTAGAAAATTCTCGATTACATACGTGGCTCATATTCTCTTTCGTTGGACAGCACTGTCCTAGATGAAAGGTTTATGTCAATGCTTCAGCTTTCAAACGCACCCAAAAAGGAATGAGAACTCTGAGCCAGACCCACTGCCACACTCCAGACCCACAGGAGCGCTAGAAATCTTACGGCAGTGGCCAAGCCGTAGCAAAGTCTAACGCAGCTTCCGCCAAACATCCCTACTGATTACAGTAATGATAAACTCCACTCGATTCAGCTCTGAATGGGTTTCCAAACGATTCAAAAGTTTAAATACCTTATCATGTTGAGTTTCTTCTAACTGCTTTTTTGCATTGTCAACTTCTCGTAATAGAGAATTCTGAAAAAGATACAGATAGCCCTTTAGTGTTGACTCTTGAAAATGTTCCACATAACATCGTACGGCTACATTTCTGTTTAAAATAAAAAGTACGCCTCAGAAAAGAAATGGACCACATGAATGCGTTAATGGGCAGCACCACACTCCCAGAGGGAAATGCTGACAATGAGGCCAGAATTATTCTTAATAATAATTTGTACATATAAAATTTTATTCTCTGATCGATTTTCTAAATGTTAGGTTATGTCAAGTTCATCGTGTGAGTTCGTTTTAATCAGTTAAACTGGTTTGTACTAGCTCTTGCAATTCATTGGTCACTGGGAAACCTGACACAAGTTTCAAATGCATAATTCAACTCTCAGATAAAAATATTCCTTCCTACCTTAGGTTGGCCCATTGATCTAGGATGACGTGAAATAACTGCGCTACGTGGTCTCTTAATAGTGCATCTCATAATGGGCATTGTGTAAACACATCACATAAATCGTAGTGACAACTGGTCTCCCTCAAAAGAGCATGACCCCAGGTGCCAGCTCAGGGAAGGCTCCGGGCCTCCTCTCGAGGCCCACTGGTGCCGTGGGGACAGGTCTTATGGAAATCTGAATCCCACTGTCCCCATTCGAGCTTCTCGGATACGGATTCTAGGCCACCCTGCTCTCTGGTTACACCTAAAGTATTCCATGATGACAGGAGCACGAGTCCGGGCTGAGATGTTTTCCAAACCAAAGGAATAGGGAGCAGGCAGGACATGGAATGTGAGGCTGTTTGTTTTCAGTTGATTATATCCTTTATATTACACCAGACTACTACGATGCTATGTTTATAAACAAGACAGAAATTAACTTCCACTGCAAGACCAACAAAAGAGTGAGGGTTGGGCCCAAAAAGGATTCCAGTGCAGGGACTAGCCAACGAGGGCCTGTGGGGCAAATCCGGGCTGTGGCCTCTCACAGTAAATAAAGTTTTATAGGAACGCAGCCACACCAATTCATTTACATATTGTCTACGACTACTTTGTGTTCATTATTGATTAGCATGAAATGATCTTACTCATTAACATTTACTATCTGCTCCTTTAAAGAAGAGTTTACTGACTCCTGTTCTAGAGAGTAAGAATGATAAATAATTTTCCATGCACGTGAACTGTGCAGGGCACAACACACGGTAAGGTAATTCAGCGAGCGGGTAACAGCTAAGCTCTCCCACTTTAAAGGATGCTTCCTGTTCTCTGTAATGGTCATTAGGCACTGCCATGCACTGGTCCCCATGTGTCTGTCAGGGCAGGTAAGCTTCAGTGACGTCGGGACCCCCACCTTATCTTCTAGGGCAGCCATCCTCTCCTTAAGGTGAAGCTGAAGCCTCTCGTTAGATTCTGAAAGAAGCTTGTCGACGGTGTCTGACAACCGTTTATTATGTTCTTCATTCATTTTTTCTCTCTGCCTTGCCTAAAACAGGAGAAACAAAACTTTAGCAGCTCCAAGCACAGGTATGATCATCACTTCCAAAGTGCCACGGGCCAACGCTGCGAGTGGCACGAGCTGGCATTCCCTGGGTCGTGCCTCCCACTGGGCTCTGCAGTTACCAGAACCGACATGGGCGCAGGGAAACGCTGGCACACATCTCCGAGAGCTCGCTAATGAGAAGGTCCCAATTCAGAGGCGCACTCATGGGGCCTCAGGAACAATGCACATCAGTAACGGGCATGCGGACTCAGGAAGCAGCCTTACATGAAAAAATGAGCGTATTTTTATGGGGATCAGCTTATCTACACGCTGGTGAAGGAATTGCCCCACCTGTAAACAGAAGCTTGGGTCTGGATTCGGAGAGTGGGAGGAAGAATTTTATCTACAGAGCAAAAGGTAAAAAAATTCATTTTGGAAAAAAAAGTAGAGGAAACAGAGACTTTTGCCTTGTTTTTCTTTATACTCCTACATCACTTGAATTTTTGGTAATGCAATTTTATATTAAAAAATTACAAATAATTACCTCAAGTAATTTTAAAATGTAGAAAGAAAGTTGCTAAGTCTGTGTTTTACAAAACTACCATCAATTTCATAGATTAAAAAGCTTGTTTTCGTCCCCAATCCTGCAGAAACACAAAATATAAGTGGAGGGGGCAGGCAGGGCTAACAGGCAGCCACGCGCGTCAGGGCGGGTGACCTGAGCGCAGAGTCATCGGAGCCGGTGGGCATGGTGTGCAGTGCTGGGGGGGGTGGGGGGGGGACTCTCCCGGGTGGAGCGCAGCATGGCTGGGGGCTGAGATGTGTGCTGCAGCCCAGGCAAGAGGAGCGAGCCCACAAGGTCTCGCCACGGAACTGGGCATTGTAGTCATCCCTGTACTTCAGTTTCCTCACCTGTAAAATGTGGGTGCCAGAGTCCCCCTTTTCTCATAGCGTTGTAAGGATTAAATAGAAAGCACTCAGAATCGTGCTCAACACACCACAACTACCATCTAGAGGAGACCCCACACACCAAACAGTGAAGTATCAGCATTTGCGTATTTTTAAAGTAAAACAACTTAAAAGTTTACTTTGAATTGCCACAATTATAAACAGAATCCTCATCTCAACATTTGTCCTTCAAAACTCTGAAAGTCAGCTCTGAAAGTAACGGAGTGCATCCTAAATAAGCCACAATCAAATTCTCTAAGAGGTGAGCGTGCGTGTGTGTGTCTGACGGGAGGCAGGGGACTGCCTCACATGCAGTCTCTTTCTGGAAGTCAGAATCTTCCCTTCCAGGAAGTTTGCACTTGATGCTTGGCAGTCCATGGCCAAGAATACAGGTTACTGGTGAAAACAAAATCTGATGGCCTTGAACGGATGCCGTCAGGGTGGTGCCAGCTGGACCTGGGACCGCCGCTCGCTGCTTCCTGGATGTGCCACCCTGACCACCTCTTCAGGGAAACACTCAGGACTCACCGGACACGACCCTCCACTGCCACTCTCTCAGTGCTGCTTTTCCCACAGCTCAATCGTGGCTGTCCTTGTGCTTGGGAAGATCCACTCCCACAAATACCTTTATGTCTGGAGTAATATGCAGTATTTTGTGACAGAGGTCAGGCCTGTGACCTGACTTGGGGACGTCAGTGTCATATTCTAAGAAAGCAGACTCGACATCTCGGACCACGTGCCTTACTCTGGTTTCAGGGGGACCCCAGGTTTGTCTGAAGGGCACCCGTAAGGTGCGCCTTATACCCGGCGCTGCTCCCCGACAGGCTAGTCAGAGCAGCAAGCAGCCTCCTTGGATAGGAGGACCCATGGAACCCTGCAGCACTGCCCACAGATACCAACTTCTTCCCCTGCCACCAATGTTGACACGAGACTGAGTGTGGGGGGTGCAGCTACCAGCAGTAAATAAAGTTTTATTGGAACGCAGCCAGATTCGGCCATAGACTAAGCACATACAGCGGGGGCAGGGACCACCGGCAGAAGTGGAGAAACAAGGGCCGCGCCCCTGCCTGGCCCCACCCGAGCCCCAGCTCGAGGTCACATACCCGCTGCAGTTCCTGGTTCTTTTCCTCCAGCTGCGCTTCCATCTGGCGTAGCCTCTCCTCAATGTTGCCATGTCTCTCTTCCGCCTGTCAGCAAACACAGCGTGAGCTCAGCCAGCGACGCACGACCTCGGAGCACATGCGCACTGCCGGGGAAGGACATGCACAGCATGCTCGCGGGGCCGCTTCCAGCCACGCTGGCCACATTGCCAACATCCCACGTAGCCTCAGGCGGCAGCCCTCTCATGTGGGTGGTCTGGGGCGTGGCTGGTGCGGTAATGAGCTTGGTGAGAGTGTGCTTGCCCCGCCCCGTGCCTGGTGTCCACGTCTTCCAGTGTCCCCCATCCTCAGTCCACGGAGAGCGGGAAGCGGCAAGCACACAACAGCCATGGGCACGGTCTACCTTCCTAAGCTGGGAAGTGAGCTCGCACAGTTTAGCTTCCTTAGCAGCAGAGCTTCCAGAAGACAAAAGGTCAGACTACAAGGCCAACCAGAGATAGGAGCGATGCCAGGGAGAAAAGAAACCAAGACTTTAAACGCAGATCACAACAGAAAAGGAGCGGTTCTGTCACAGCTGTCAGCAACGAACCTGCTCTAAGGAAGGTCGGCGGGCAGCTATACCCCCTGACCGACCCAACGTCAGCCTGCACGACAGCGGCCTGTGTCTGTCCTGCCTCTTTGCTCGCCTGTCCTCGCCAGAGGCTCACTGATCTGAGCCAGGTGAAGTGGCAGTGGCGCCCCCAGGGGCTTCCTGGCCTGGGGCACACTGCTCTTTGCCCGGTTGACGCCGATGGTACCGCAGGGCTGCCGCTGCTAAGCACAGGAAGGCTGGCTGGCTGTGGCTGTGTGCCACCTCCTGTGCGGACCAGCCGATCCCAATCATTCTGAAACCACCTGGTCACCTGCGGGCTGCCGCCTGCACGGGGAGCACTGGGAGGCCAGACTGTGTCTTGCACATGTCTAGCCAATATTTTTTTAAACAAGTGAATGAATAAATTACTTTAAAATCTGTTTATTACAAACGTACTTTGCCTTGAGAAGGAATGGTCTTTTCCTATTTCTGAGAAAAACTCTATATCCTTCTTTTACACAAAGCTTCTAGCTTTTGCTTTGAGTTGTTGACTTAACTCTAAGAAGCAGTGACTCTTAGATCAAGCACAGTGGGAACAAACAGTGCACATCTGACAAACTGGAGGGAAATTAATTTGGGGACAACAAAGAGGGTAATGCCTGACATTTAAAAAGTGTTCCAATCTCACACAGAATGGCACTAAAAAGAAGCCTGGGCCATTTCAAGGACTTAGGCGAGCAGACACAAGAACAAGGATCCACAAGGTCCACACACAAACCACCACCACCACCACCGAAACCCCATGCGCCGCCCGAGGGGACCCAGGGCAGCACCTTGGAGAGCGCCGCCACCCTCTGGGCCAGCTCGGCCTCCACCTCAGGGAGCGTCTCCGCTTTCCGCAGAGTCTGCTGCAGCTTCTGCTCCGCCAGCTCCAGCCGCTCTTGTAGCTGCCGGTTTTTATCCTCAGTCTGCAAAGAGAGCACAGCATTGACTGTAGCAAATCGAGCCATTTCTGTTTTTAATAAATTAGAACAAAATCTTCATGCAGACACTGAAATTAGTTCTGCCAGAAGCACTGCCGTTCTGGCAGCTGCTTCCTGCGACACTTCTCCCTGTGAGGGCACACCCACTTTCTTGGGCCTGAAAACCACCTCCTGCCAAAGTGTTTGCTTTTCCTGATTATCTTTAAAGAAGTGTTCCAAAAAGAAGTTCCTATACATTAGAGAAAATCCATTTTCTGTAGGAGTTTCTGACTCTCATCGACAAGTTCAGGAAAGAGGGGTTCAGCACTAACCCTTCTTAAAGGTAATCAGACCCTACTCACAGAAGTGAGCCAAGACACAGCTCCCATCTCCTCTGAAACACAGACCTTCCAAGAGTGCGCCTGATCAAAGGCCACTCAAGTTATTTTTATAAAAGTATTCTTTTAAAAAACCCTTGCTCTAAAAAAATTTCAATGTAGAAAATGTAGCCAAAAGATTTTTTTTTTTAAGAAAATTTAGGGGCCAACCAAGTTGCTCAGTTGGTTGGCACACGAGCTCTGAGCAACAGGGTCACCGGTTCGATTTCCACATGGGCCAATGAGCTGCGCCCGAGCTGAGATGCCAACACGTGGCAGGATGGCTCAGCTGGTGAGAACACATGCTCCTAACAAGATTGCCTGTTTGACTCCCACATGGGATGGAGGGCTATGCCCACCCGCAACTAAGATTGAACATGGCACCTTGAGCTGAGTGTCCACGAGCTGCTGACGGGCGGCCAGATGGAGACTGGACTTGGAGCTGAGCTAGCTGCGCCCTCCACCACTAAGATTGAAGGACAACAACTTGGCTGTTCCCCTTCCCCAATTCCCCAATTAGAAAAAGAAAAAAGAAAATTTAGAAATCGTCTGTAAGTTCGGGTTCCTGAGAGGTAAGCATTTGTTTACATGCAGCTTTCTTTTTTTTCCTGTTTGCCTATATCACTGTATATACATCATATAATATGTTGTGCTTTAAAACCCTCAGAAAATACTGTACGTAGGAGTTTGTTATCTGCCTTTTAAAGTCATTCCTGTTACCATCTTACATGCTCCTAAACAGCCTTCCACAAGATAATTTATAACAGCTTCCTAGTGTTTTATTTTTTATTTCTATTTTGGGCCTAACGATACACTTTAAAACATAACAAACAAGCTCACTGGATTTTCAAGAAGTTGGATTTGGTTTTCCCACTTCACTCGTGATTAGCTGAGGCTGCAGAGGAAGCGCGGCAGCGAGGGTGCACCGCGCAGCAGAGGGCACAGATGCTTCCCGCAGACCGCAGTTCTGCATTTTCCACTATTACACTGAGCCCAGCTATCGACAAGTAGCCAACCAACTGCCTTAAAGTTCTCTGCTACTCTCTGCTCATTTGGTAAAAAAGCTGACAAGCAACAAATTAATGTTCAGTTAAAACAAAACAGAAGAATCAAGGGGTGTAGCTCCAAAAAATGGTTATAGGAAACCCTACATGATTAGAAACTGTCCATTGAAGTAACCCATACTTTCAAATCTAACAGTTTAAGATCATGAAAACTTTATATTTGGACTTGATTTCCAACATGAAAATCACAGAAAAAAGGTCTTTCACTTCATTAGTAAAAGCCTGACAAAGTTCTGTAAGAGCACTACCTGTCGATGCATGGAGTCTTTATTTGCAATTTCATTTTCAAGTTTATCGTTAAGGTCGTGCACAGAGGTGGCTTCACGCTGTGCTGCGAGGTAGCGTTTCTCAAGAGTAGTGATTCTCTCCTCCATGTCTTCCTTCTGGGCCATGGCCTACATTAGGTATTTCAGAGGGAAGAAAGGTAAATAATACACAACACATCAGTACACTTAAGAGAAAAAAAACTGGATTAAATCCTAATTTTCAAATCCAATATAAAATTAGTGTTCCCAAAACTAAGTTGATAGAGATGCCAATTTTCTCCAAAGTGAATGAAAACACCTGCCTCACATATAAATATGCACCTAAAACTATTAGCAAAGACTCATCTGCCTTAATACTATGTCTGGCCATTCAGTGAACCAAGCTTATCCTTTTCTACGTAATATTTCAAAAACAATGTATAATAAAATATTCCAACGCTGCTAGAATTCCAGGAGGTGGTCTCTGCAATGAAGATGCCACTGTTGGCCTCACGATACAAGTAGGTTCACACAGGACAAAGCGTGGCCCTTCAAGGGACACAACAGTGAAACCCCAGCGTCATTTTCTAGCATAACAGTTGGATGGAAGTTCATTCAATTAACACAAAATTAAAACGATAATACCAATACTGGAAACAGAAGTCAAAGTTTGATTTAATGGGATAACAACCTCCTACAGCCTAATTCCGTAACAAAGTTCTATCACATAGTATCAAACACTGAAGCCAAGGCCAGAACTTATGCTAGTGCAACTCCTGTCCCCAAGTGAGACATTCATTTAGGTACCGCCCTGTTTACTAAGTAACTAATGCTAGCGAAGTCTTAATATTAAAGGTGATGGGTCTTAAAATAAGAATTTCCAGGGCAGCTGGTTAGAGCGCAGTGCTCATAACACCAAGGTTGCTGGTTCGATCCCCACATGGACCACAGAGCTGCACCCTCCACAACTAGATTGAAACAACTACTTGACTTGGAGCTGATGGGTCCTGGAAAAACACACTGTTCCCCAATAAAAAAAAAAAAAAAAAAAAGACTTTCAAAGTTCTCTGCATATTAAACTTTGCTACATAAATAATCTCCTCTTACTAAAGAACCATGTAACTGACCAGGCTACAATATATGCAAATATTTTGCTTTGTTTTGAATTCTTACATAAAATCAGCCCCGCTGAGCTACTAAATAGTAGTACCTGGTCTACGTACACACTCAAGGTCTGAAAGGGTCTTCCTGAGAGGTTCTGCCCGAGATGGTCTCACGGGGGATGTTTGGTCTGTTTATAGTGGACAGGTTAAAGCCCCAGGGGGATGCGCCACAGAAGTATCAGCTGTCACTGGTTTTTATGACAACAGTTAAAGGGCTTCTTATACATCCTTACACATACATCCCGTGTGCCAGAAATGATATATTTCTACATATTTTTTCAGCGTGATCCTGTCGACTCAAGAGCAAGCAAACTCCACTCTCACTGTTTGTGTGACCACCGCTCTTCACTGTCATTGATTCCTTCAAGGAGTAGGACGTCAGAAGATTAGATGACCGCCAGTGACACTTGCTCCCTGAACAGGCAATGGACGGTGGTCACACCACTTTAAGTGAACTAGCAGACCACAGATGTCAAATTTGTTTAAGTGTGCAGGAGACAGAAATCTGAGCCTAAGAAGGGTAAATTCAGACAGCTGAGAACTCGTAGGAACGAGGGATCCACAGAGCAGGGAGGGCAGCACAGTCACGCAGCAGCTAGGCCAAAGGGTGGCCGCGTGTCCATTCTGCGGTCGCCAGTCCGAGGGACCAGCAGGACCAGGAGTCCACCTTTAAAGACCTCAGGAAAGGGAGACTGCACCGCCAAATGGGAGGTGGCCTATCAGTCTCATAGCACTATTCTGTTTTGCTGTTACTTATACGCAAAGGATGAACGCAACTGGGACAGTAAGGGACAAAATGAGCTAAACGATCAGACCAAAACACCCCAAACATTCAACTCAGTGACAGCACTGCAGCTGCTCTTATCACTTACTTCACGAACATCTCGCTGCAGCTTTGTGTTCACTTCCTCAGACTTGATGAGGTCTTTCCTCGCGGTGTCCAGGTCTTCTTCCAGCTCTGTCACACGACTGGAGAGAGAAGCCAGACGTTCCTTCATCTGACTCTGCTCCCGTGACTGCTTATCAATGATCTCCTGCAGCTCGATGACTTTGGCAAGGTCTTCCTCGTGGCTTAAGGAGCCATCCGAAGATCTCTGATGGGGAAACACATTCTTAAATGGTTGTGTTTGGTGAGCTAGGAAAGAAAGCACTTCTGGGAAACAGGGAGAATCGAAATGAACTGGTGCAATCTGTTGGATGACACACAGTCATGACCACTGGAGGTCTAAACAGGGCTGTAGCAACAGTCACCCCAATAGTCGTGTGCGTGGACTGAGGGCAGAGGAATTGGAAAAAGACGAAGAGAAAGCCGAAGGACTTGCCTTTCCATTCGTGCTCGGCGTGTTTTCTTGTTCATGATTTATGTCAAGCACCCCATCTGTCAGTGTTTTTTTCTGATTATTCTGTTCTTTAAGAATCATTAGCTGAAACCAAAAAATTGAGTATGAGAGTAAAGAAATAAGGCAGCAAAACTCCTTTTGGAAAAACATAACTGTAAATATAGTATAAAAAGAAAATATATAGTGATGCTATCCATCCTGAATATAACCAGGTTACTACAATCAGAATTTATTATCTACTGGACAAATGGTGACTTACGAGACTCTGCAGCTCTCAAATAAAAGTCTAATTTACTAGTCATTAAAATGACCAAGAGGGGTTGGTCCTCAATCAGAAAGACAAATAACAGCTGATATCCACTACTATGACTTTCATAATATTTTTTTCTAAATTAAGGGGTAAAATTGAACTCTCAATTCAAACCATATGATGATTTATTGAGCTTACCTCTTTGTGTGTGGCACCTAATTCTTCTTCTAACAAACTACACCTTTCAAGGGCTACTCGTAACCGCTCTCTCACCTGAAAATAAAAGGGTTGAGTCTGTGTATTTATTTAATTCTTATTGTACAGCTAGCTATCCTAATATACTATCAGTGTAATAAAACATAATAGAATACCTCAGTGTCTTTCATTGATGTTAATGTCAAAAAAACTAATTAAATTTAAAGCTATGCTTGTTCATAGCTTTAAATTTTAAGTTGGAGAAAAATCTTACCCCTAAATAAATATCAACCAAGTCTTAACAACAAATTAATTTACAGATTATAATAAATTTTAAGACATTTATGCCAACTAATACTTTTACGCATACAGAACTCTGTCTTCTTTCAGGAAAAATTTCTTTATAAGAATTCGAGAAGCTACTAAAAGTAAACGAAGGCTGCACAAACCAATCTGACGCCCGCCTAACAACACAGCATGTGTTGAAAGCCAGAATCCCTACGTGGCAACGGTACCTTTTCATCCAGAGCTTTGTGGTGTTCGAATAACGACTTTAGTGCTTTAAGAACTTCCACCTCGCTGGATACACCTGCTGGGGACTGTGCCTGCCTCTTCACCACTGTCATCCTGAGAGATCGCTCGTGCCTGGAGACAAGGCATTCCAAATGTTCCAACAGCAGCTGCAAGGGAAGGCCAAAGTGAGAACATGTTTGCAGCACACTTTCACTTTCATATTTGAATCTGGGGCAAATAATTCCCTTCAACCTCATGCTAAAACTAGTCTGACTCTCTTTCAGCCTAGTTAGAGAACTACCCACCCCCAAATGTATTAAAATATCATTAATTCTCATCATGAATTTCAAGCAAGGTATGAGAACGCTCAACTGACCAGTCACAGTCGAGTCAGTGGGAAAATGTTGCAAATGTGTTTAAAACCAGAGTGGCTGGTCCCTTGAGTTTAAAGACGGCCGGCAACACTGACCCCAACAGTGACCCCAAGGAAACGTTAGGACGAAGAGAATGCACCTACTAACCCTAGTGTTGTTTCTTTCTGCTTTCAGTTCAGCAATTTCTTCTTCCCTTTCAAGGAGCTGTTCCCGGCATACATTGAGTTCTTTAGTAAGTGCTGCGAACTCCTAAAAAACAGAAGAGAGAGAAATCCTTTAGGACAGACTCTCCTCAGGCCTCTCCCGTGCTCATACAAAAGCAGCCCCAGCCAGTGTAGGGGCCTCTGTGACCCTGCAGAGAAAGGGGGGCAAGCCACCAGCCCAAGACCACCTACTGCCTTAACTCAGACCACCTGCCCTCCGCCACCTCTGAGCCCTGGCACACGGCCAGCCCGCCTTCTCAGGGTCCAGAGAAGTTCCAGACATTGTTCTGAACGTGGATCCTGACACCAAGTGGATAAAGACATTTTTAAGTGACCAGCAGATATGTGACCTAGAGCCACTGAGGAGAGTAAATTACAAGAGGCCTAGAAGGCCCGGCCCCTGTACCCAGCCTCCTTTTCTGACTAAGCCAATTCTCCTCGGGGGAGAATTGCAAGGCCTGGGGGCATCCCCGGGAAAAAGGCTGATGGTACCCCAAGGCCAATCTGTTAGCCTGAGTAATCTGTTCAGAGTCAACAACATAAAATGGACTTTTCACAAACGCTGGTAAGCCTTCTGTAGGATGGGAAAGGTTGAGAAGGCTTATTTCTTTCGCCAGGTGGGAAGGCGTCTAGTGGACACTGCTGAGAAGAGTGATGCCAGGTGCCCCTCACCCCACTCTGGGTTAGTTCTAACTGCAACATGGCTGCCCACACATGAACCTGACCATGAGCTGGGTCAAAGGAAATGGACTCATTTTCCTGTCTCCTGCCAGTTTTTCAATGGAGCAAAACCCCTCTGAAATAATTAAAATTATCTGCCACTGTTTCACTATATTTTAAGACCTTCTCTTCAAAAGACAAGGGAAGAGATAAAGGTACACTTAATAAATTATAATCTGACATTCCAAATAAGAAAAATGGCTGATGGAGGTAATTCTAGAAAATCAATTTACAAACAGGTGGTGTATTAGAGCTCATTCGTAAATTAATCCTTTGCAAGTCAGAGTCAACTTTACCACAGAAATGACACCACTCATCAGACTGACTTGACAAGGCTAGCTCGAAATGCCTACGAGCCGTTACAGAACCGAAATACTGAGCCGTGGCGATGAAATGCAGCAGTGGAAAAGAGTAAAACCCAAATATTTATTTTTTCTTCAATGTTCTTATTTTGGGGAAGCAGATAATTTACAGAGATCTTAAAAGACACTTGTGAGCACTGTCACAGAGTAAGCTAATGGTCACTTGATCGAATTTCTCTTCTAAACTAGTATTTCCTCCTCAAGAACCCACGATCGTGGGTGATCAACTTCCAGCTGACAGCAGGAGGTGCTCCGCTGACCTGCTCCCCAGTGAAACTGGTGGAAACTACATTTAAACACCCACAACTATTCAAAGCCTCTGACAGTCCTAAGAGCAAACGACAAATGAAGAAACATGTATCCAAGAACACCTGGGAGGCTGGTAGAGAGGCAAGAGTCTGTGCTACCTGAACCAAGACTGCTCCCCTCCCCCCCACCCCAACTCCAGCTCAGGGAGGTGGGGTTCTACTACTCCAGAGGCAGAGGCTGCAGCCAAGAACAGGGCCCCCCCCAACACCCCCAACAAGAACACAGGGCCCCCTGGCCCCCAGCACCCAGCCAGAGATTTCTTGCTGGGAGGAGCAGGGCAGCAGCAGGTGCTGTCTTGGTCCCCAGCTGCCTGGTGGAGAGCTGGGGCTCGCAGGTTGGCCCAACCCCACCGAAGAAATGGAAGCTCAGGGTCCTGATCACCCCACCCCTGCTCCCCGAGGCGGTGGTTCCCAGGCTGGAGAGGGCCCCAGGCTGCTGCACCCCCCCACCGGCTGATCAGCTCTCAGAGTGGGAGTGCCACTCAGAGGAGCTTCCCCTTGTCCCTTCCCCAGCTCCTGGTTCAGAGACTGCCGGGGCGGGGCGGGGGGGGGCAGTAAAAACAGCTCCTCATGTCTTCCCACAGGAACTGACTTCCAGGGCCAAGTGTACGCCAAGGCTGCCTCTCAGCAACAGTGGAGGCTGTGGGGAAGGGCACCTCGGAGGAGACTCGCTGAGCGAATGGGATGCTGTCCACACTGCAGGTGGGCCAGTCCGCAGGAAAGAACCCAGACGAAGGCAGCTCAGTGGACCCTCCCAGGATCAGAACAAATATCCAGCACTCACCTGGGCTGCGATTCCTGAACAGGGAGGGGTCTTTGTAGAGAAACGTGTACCCCAGGGCATTGCTGAAGACAATGGAGCACTTGGCTGGCAATTAGTGGGGTTTCACAGCGGGTGTGGTCCGGGTGTGGTCAGGGACGAGTGGGAGTGCGCTACCAGTGCAGGGCCACTGTCACCCAGAATAACTGGGCGAGCCCAGAGCGGCACCTACCTGGGGAGCCGTGTCACAGGCTGCTGGGGTCACACAGCCGCTCAATGAACTGTTTAAAAGGGTAACTTTTTGTTATGGATACAGCTGACCCTCAAACAACATGGTCTGAACTGTGTAGGTCCACTTGTATGTGGACTGTTTCAACTGACCCGTGCAGTTCAAACCTTGTTGTCCAAGGGCCAACTGTAGTCACATGTAGACTGAACTGTGAGGGGGTTGACACCCCAGCTCCCGCGTTGAGGGATCAACTGTATTTTACCACAATTTACACACACACACACACACACACACACACACACACACACACACACACACACACACACACACACACCCCTCTTTGGAGACAAGGCTGCTCCTGAGAGCATAAGATGAGCTAAAGAATAAGGACACCTCTTTGCTCCAATATTTCCATGCAGACCTGCAAACACAAATACATTCCAGTAGCACTAAGAGAAATAATCCCACTGTGTGTAAAACCTGACAAGTATTCTGTCCAGTGTGAAACATCTTTAGAGACCAGGCAGGCAGCATTCAGAAATGGGCGTCCCCACTGGGAAGCCATGGGGGAGGGGTGGCCCAGCACAAGACGGCGTCTCCTTTCAGTGTTCTCCCATCAAATTCATTTTCTTTCCTGACTTTCAGAGATTCCTTTCCTATGTGACAATATTAATTATACTGACTACTCTGATGCATATCTCCTCTGGTAAATAGCTTTCGTTGATGTTTGATCACCTAATGCCTGACATTAATGACAGATTTTCATCTCATTATGGAGATCTTGTATCAGAAAATATTGTCTGTTGCAGGTGAAAGAAAATCTGACTCTGACTAGCCTAAATGGAAAGGCAGTTATTACGCACGTGACGGGTGGGTCACAGGGATGTGGTCCCAGGCTTGCCTGCATTCAGGGCCTCGGACTTTTATTTCAAACCTGGGTCCCCCTTGTGCTGCCATCTGGGTCAGTTTTGTGAAGAAACTGCCAATTTACCAAGTCGGTCTTTCATTATGTCTGGTCCCAAGTTTATCACTCTGGCTAGTATCTTTTTCATTCACTCGATTTCAAATTGTTTGTGCCATGCCTTCCTGCCCGCTCCGCTGTTTTACGGTGCCTCGCTTGTTGAAACACTTATGGTGACAGTTGCCCAGACTATGCACAAGCAGCAGACGGGGTAAACGTTCTATGCTGTGAGGACTCCACTCTGGGAGGACGGCTCAGTGTGACGAACCTTCAGACTGTGGGGCCGGGCTTCCGGCTCCTCTTGAGTAGGTTCTGTGGGTGGCACTCCCCTCCCCCCCAGTGTCCCACGGTCGCCCCCTCTTTGAGCCCCCCGAGGCCTCGGGCCAGAACTAGGTTTCCTGGTTCCACCGCAGATCCTGTTAGAGAGCCATCACAGTGGCGCGGCCTGGCCTCCCCAGGCCCATAACTTCCCAGAAAGTCCCAATGTATCGGGGACAGTGGCCTTAGGCGAGGGGAGCTCATCTAACCCCACCTTCAAAGAGGGAGTTCTAACTGCACTGAACTCTTTAGTACCTATCACCCTGACCTGCAGAGCCAAGCCAACGCATGCTTACCAGGGTTCCTCTCGTTTCTGTACTGAAGGGTTTTCCCCCCCTCTTTTCGGGGCCTGGCTATATGTTTTGGTTATTTGCTTCTCTATTTATATCTTCTCTCTCACTGCCATGTGTGGAAAAGAGATGCGTCAAAGCATGAGTTTATGCTGCCATCCTGACTGAAGTCAGTTCACTCGAGCAACGGCTGCAGGAGCTGTCTGCCTGGACACCAGAGGCGAGCCTGACGCTCCCTCAGAGGCTCCTCCAGGGCAGACAGACAAACCAGCAATCACCCGGTGTGCTGAGCGGGCTGGGGAGGTGCTGCCAGGGGAGCGGGGCGCGAGTCACCCGTGATGGGAGGGTGTTGCTTGCCCAGATTCGCCCAAAGAGACAGCACCTGAGATAAATTCTGAAGAGCAACCGGCCCTCTTCCCCAAAGCCTGAAGTCGTCTGCTACAGACAATGTCAGCAGCTGGGCAGCGGCTAGGGCAGGGCCGTGTGCAGGAAGGAGGAAAGGGAAGCTGGCAGCGGTGGAGGCTAGGCTGCGCAGGCCCAAGCACACCCGTGTGGAGCCCGGCGTCATCTTGGAGGCTCTGGAGTTTCTAACGACAGACTCAGAGCCCTGACCAGGGAGTGTGCAAAACTGCACAAGTTCCAGGCAGTGCTTGGCACAAAGCCAGTGCTCGAAATGGGTCTGCCGGACACACGAAAGGCCCTGGGAGCACCGCTGAAGCTGGGCTGGAGGGGGAGCAAGAGAACTAGCGACGAGTCTACAGCGATAACCCAGGGAGAAATGGGGTCTGAATTAAGACCAGTACTAGAGAGATGGAGATCAAGCAAGAGTTCTCAAAACGCGAGTCTCCAATACGTGCCAGACGCCCCGTGCTGAGACTGTCACCAGCCTCAGAAGGACGCCCTGGACACTGCGCTCAGAGAGCCCGTCAGAGGGTGAGGCCCGACGCGGGAGGCCAGCCAGGCGCTGTTGCATAAGCCTGCAAGCCCAGGGCGGGTTCTGCGCGTGTGTGATAGCAAGCAGAGCGAACAGGATCTGCCAACTGGCTGAGTGGATCTGAGAAAAACGCCAGGACAACTCGAGGATTGTGGCCGGAAGGA